GAATGAGGGCTTTGTGTTCATTGAATTATGATAATGAACAGTGTAACAGTAGAAGATATTGTCCCTACATTTACGTGGAATCTGAACGTTGTATTCTACATGTCAGGAGAACTACCAGCTCCATGGGACATGATTGAGTTCGTGTACTAAGGACTTAAGTAGTCATATCTCAAGAACAGAAACAACCTATAGGTCAGAAAGAACCCATGTGAACGATGCAACGACATCACGTCAAAATAGCATATCACGGAAGTAAATTCAGTTTCACTGGCAATTAAAAAATCGTTTGTATTTCATGAAATCACACCGTGTCTCTGATTTGGGAGAAAAAAAAAACACATCTTGGGATGAAACAAATACATATCAACTCTGTAAATTAGATTCGGGACAGGCTGTGGCGTGGCGTCCGTCCGGTGTCAACTTTTTTATTTAAACAATTTCTTCTCAATAACCAATAGGCCTAGGGTGAAGATACATTGTATTTGACCAGTAAGTAATATGGAATGAAGGGCTACCAAGCTAGTTAAAATAATTCCCTTGACCCACATCAATGTCACTGGAGTCAAATGCGTAAATAACCCAACGTCCCAGGGTGATGTTATCCTGTCAAAAGCATAATAGGCCATTTTCGTTCTTCGCGATCCAAACAGTTGAACCGGTTGGACCACAGTTGTTCGTTTATGAAATAAGGTCGGACCCAGTAATCTGATGTTGCTTTCAGCCGAGCATTGAGAAAGCCTTGCAAGGCCTGCACTTTCAAAGTCATTACGTCAAAAACTTCTTCTGTAAACCAAAAAGTCCAGGGTAATCCTAATTTAACTAAACGTAGCAAAGATGCTCCTCTCACCGATCTTTCAAAGAGATGTCTTCTTTATTTTTGAGGGTAAAACATGTATCTTTTCTTATTCAGACAACAAACGAAACATGCTAACGGTATCTTACGGACGAACGGACGGACACGATTAAGAACTGTTTGCGTTCTCTCTCACCCGCTGTAACACACCTACTTCACCGTATCCATACTTTTTCTGAAACGTCTAAACAGGAGTTCCACAGGGTGGAATCCTATCAGTCACACTGTTTGGTCTTAAAATCAATGATATAGTCAAATGTCTTGGTCAATCAACAGAAGGGTCGTTATTTGTGGACGACTTCTTGATCTGTTACAGATCTAAGAACATGCACACGATAGAACGACAACTTTAACAGAGTTTAAAAAAACTACAAAATTGGGCTGACGAAAATGGCTTCAAATTCTCTAAATCCAAAACTGTGTGCATGCATTTCTGTCAAAAACGAAAAGCACACAATGACCCAAATCTAACACTCGATGGCACTAGAATTCCTGTTGTTGAACAGACAAAATTTCTCGGCCTCATTTTGGATTCGAAACTCTCTTTCATACCACATATAAAGTGTCTGAAGGATAAGTGTTCCAAGGCGTTAAACATTATACGAGTCCTTTCTCATACTGATTTGGGGGCGGACCGAGAAATGGTTTTGCGCCTATACATATCACTTATTCGAACAAAACTGGATTATGGTTCTATGGTATACGGGTCGGCGCGCAGTTCGTACCTGCAGTTGCTAGACCCAATCCATAACCAAGGGCTAGGTCTAGCCCTTGGAGCTTTTCGAACAACACCTGTAAAAAGCCTGTACGTGGAAGCAAATGAACCATCCCTTTATGACAGAAGAAAAAAACTTTCATTACAATTTGCAGCTCAATTAAAATCAAACCCTAAAAATCCTGCTTTCGACCAAGTATTCAACCCAAAATACCAAAACATATTTGCGCAAAACCAAAAACTTCTGCCAACATTTGGTATTTCAAATTTCCTGCAAGAACTCAACATAAAGTTGACGGACATAGCTGAATTTAACATATCTGATTTTCCTCCGTGGACCTTTCAAACCCCTGATTTTAACTTTACATTACATGAGGTAAATCAGGTGTTATGCCCGAAGAACACAAATCCTCCTTTCGGGAATGCATTTCGAATTACCCTTCTCATACACAACTTTACACCGATGGTTCCAAAGAAGGTGAGAAAGTGGCAGCAGCCTGCTGTACTGCTAATACTTGCACTTCAGTCCGACTACCAGGCGGCGCCTCCATCTTTCCTGCTGTAGCATGCGCATATGCGCCATTGGTTTGGCCCTCGACCATATCGATGAACACCTCATTAAAAAGGCACTTATTTGTTCAGACTCTCTATCTGTCCAACAGCGTTTACAGTTACGAGATCCTAAAAACACACTCGTACAAAACCTTGCTCTTCGAATATCTCGTATCTTAAAGAAAGTCTAAAATAACTTTACTATAGATTCCGAGCCATGTCGGAATTAAAGGCAACGAATTTGCTGACAGGGAAGCAAAAATGCATTGAATCTCGAACAAACAAATATCCAACTACCATACACAGATTTTAAACCTACTATTCGTACAGCCATTCACAATGAATGGCAGCAACGCTGGTCTCTCGAGACCACCAACAAACTTTTTAAGATACAACCGAAACTTAAAACATCTATTCCCTGTCGGAAAGATCGAAGACAGGAAGTTGTCCTCGCTCGGCTCCGTACTGGGCACACATATTCTACTCATTCGTACCTTTTAAAACGAGAAGATCTACCTTCATGCCACGCATGTGACACTCCATTTACAGTGGAACATTTTTTTGATAGAATGTTCCGATTTTAAACACATTCGTGATAACTACTTTCGAGTCCCGGGTATGAAAACTCTTTCCAGTTCCGTGGACTCGAAGGCATTATTTAACTATTTGAAAGACATCGGTCTATTTTATAGACTCTGATGTCTTTTAACCCACCTTATCCTTTTTGACGTTATATATATATCACATATTCCATATCATCTATTCGTTATCTCTTTTATTATTTTAACCCCCTTTTTATTTTTTATTATCTACACATACAATGCGAATGCTATTATGAACCATTTTATCTGATTTTATCTTCGCTACTCACATGTTTGTTATAAAAATAAGATAAATAAATAAATCACTGTTTATTTCATATACCAAAGGAAAAACACAGTTATTTGCTGAAAACAATTCTTATGTTTTGCTATGGCGTGTATAAAAACACGTATGGCGCAAATTAGTGTAAAAGTGCTTCGTAATCAAGATCAATTTTCTAACAAAGTGCACATTTTTTTTTAAATGATACTTTACCAAAACATGTTAAATGAGTATACCAATGGAAAAATCGAAATATTTCGTGGATATAACACTTACATTTTGCTATGGCGCACCTATGGCGCTAAATCTCTTATGGTGCAAATTAGTGAGACCCCACCATGGCCCTAAATGACCACAGCCGTCGATGGGCCGTTAAACATAAACAAACAAACAAAAAAGGATCCCTACAGAAACAGATGCCGGTAACCGGGTCCGGGTCCAGGTCCGTCACATTAGTTTGCACTTCAATCCACCTTTATCGATTGTAATCGCATATTGACGTTCCAGAGTGTTCCTCGCTGATATTATAAAATCGTATTCAGAATAAATCAACTTCCGGTAAACATGTTAGGATCTGAAAGACTGAAGCTTGCGGGTATGTTATGATTTGTTACAGTGTGCCAAGTTGTTATTATGGAAGAGAAGGGTTTTATAATTCATGTTACAATAGATGGTTAACGTTTTAAAGGCATGTGGCTAATTTCCAAACGAGAAATCAGGAGATTTTTTGCTACGCAGTTTTCCCCCTAGCCCGAGTTTTCTCTGGCCCGTTACATAAGATTTTAGGGTAACGGGTTGTTTCGCCCCAAATCCCGTTCGCCCTAAGGGTTATTTCGCCCCAAAACCCGTTCGCCCCAGGTTGTTTCGCCCTAAAAAAAAATAATTCTTTGAGTCATAAATATCATGTTAAAAGTAAAAAAAACCCTTATCTTTCTCTTGAATCCAGATATAATATATTTAGGCCTATATTCATCACCGAAGCCGACATACTAATATCCGGAATATACTGCACATTACAACCAGTAATGTTGTTCTTTATAAAATACACCTGTACATGTTTTAACGTTATGGATATATAACGAAACTAAATTAATTTCTCTAAGTACATAGATACGTATATATAATATATAGATAAGATATGGACATATAAAGAAACTAAATTAATTTCTCTAAGTACATAGATACGTATATAATATATAGATAAGATATGGACATATAAAGAAACTAAATTAATTTCTCTAAGTACATAGATACGTATAATATATAGATAAGATATGGACATATCACGGAATTAGATTAAATAATATGCATATTCATTTTTATTGGTCGGTACTATCAAAACTTCTCAAAATGATCTCCTCCAATTAGCAAATAACAACACGGACGTGCGCAGAAATCAAGTAAAGAAAACATCATCACACGGCGACGTATATTTAGTGTACGCTCAGTAGACTAAATGTGTTAACATGGAAAAATAATATTGTTGTATACCCCGCAATGTAATTAAAATTACACCTTTTTTGTTTCATTCACTATTCTTATCTATTTCTAAAATTAAATTCAATATATGTGATAATGTGTGTCGGCGTGAAGAAAATAACGTAATCAGTTTTTTGCTTTACAATGTACTTAAAAACAACACAAACACATATTTTTTTTAATAAAACTGATTTTAATGATATGAAAGACTAAGAAGACTTAATTTGTTACTTAAAACAAATAAAATGAAAAGAAAATGACAAACAATGTTTCGCCTTAATTTTTTTGTTTTAGGGCGAAACAACCTGGCGCGAAACAACCTTAGCTAGGGCGAACGGGATTTGGGGCGAAACAACCCGGAACCAGATTTTAGACACCAAATACCTACAAAAAATATGTACCTACCACCATGTATATGTACATAAATGTATAGATCTGTCAAATAATATACCCAGAATATTAAATAAAAGAAATGTGTAATTAATGTTAATTAATTACATTGGCAATGTAATTATAATGGTAATTAATTACATTAAGAAAACCATGTAATGGTAATGGTAAGGGTAATGCTACTGTTCCAATGTAATGTGTAATTTAATTAATTACATTACCATTGTAATTGCCCCATGCCTGCTGTCAACATGTCTAAAGTCTGGTGTCAGGGCCAGAGGCAATTTTCTCCCATATCCTGAAGGTACATGTAATGTATACACAAAATACAAGAATATGAATTGTCGCATATGGGAAACATACAAACGTTAGCTCAGTCAGTAGAGCTATTTCTGCAACAAAAAAATGCACACAAATCGTAATGTGACTGTCGAAACGTGCTACAGTGATCAGTTACCATAGGCCTCAGTGTTTCAACTTGCAATGTAATTGAAACTTGCTGAGTTGATGCTAACTTTTCATTTTTTACAGTACATATAAACGTTTTACAGTAAGTAAATAACAGTGAGTCATGTTAAATTAGCTTGACATGTTATAAACATTGTGTAATGTACAGGAAAAAGAGAAATGCATGGCCAGACTGGGATTCGAGCCTGGGACCCTCCAGTTACAGTGTTGCCTGTGACCAATCCTTGTTTCAAGCATTTGTTGTACGCTTGGCAAAGGCATACCTGAACCTGGCTTGTAAATAGTTGTATCTTCGTGGGCGAAGATTTAGATAAAAGAGGGAGGAACGTAGCGGGACTGGACTGGGTCAATTGTCGGCGACTAGGTAGCTCAATTGGTGGAGTGTCTGTCAAGAGTTCAGAGGGTCCGGGGTTTGAACCCTATTCTGGCCATGCATTTTCCCTCTCCTGATACATACCAAGTGACTTTGTATAGTTTGTTCATGGTCTACTGTATTATTGCAGTGTGTGCTACTATATTTTGATGTTATTTGCAAACGGATAAGCTGAAAAGCTAAATTATCTTAAAAAAGAATTTGATTTTGAATATACTGTAGTTATACTCGCATGCCTCTTAATACAACTACTTTTTCATCTTGCAGATCAAGAGGACATGCAAGTTCCTTTGACTGAATATTTTCCCAGAAGTGGATCTTTGATATGATATTAATACTGTTCCTTCCCCATGACTTGCTTAGAACTGAAGTCCAACAAGTTCCTTGGTTATTGCACTTAGCATTAAACATAATTTAAAGCTGAAAACATCTTTTTTATCAGTGTAGTTTTCTTCATTAGCAATGTCTTCAGCATCTGCCAGTTCAGTGATACATGTGAAGAAAATTACTGACTGCTGTAAAGACTGGCAGTGTAACAAAACTCTGGTACAGTGCCTGGATCATCTGTTTACACACAGTCTGGATACGGATGTCACGTTCCTGCTCGGAAGGAATGGAGAGAACGTTAAGGCTCACAGCTTTATCCTGAAGGCAAGGAGTCCTGTGCTGTGTAAACTTCTGAGTGCCGTCCAAAGTCAGCAATGGAAGATAACTCTGTTCAGATACTCCAAACAGACCGTCACCATGTTTCTCAGGTAAATATTTGCTTTGATCTTAAATGTAACTAGTTTGCTTTGTTGTTTAAGTAATAGGTATAGTGTATATAATACCCTATTAAGTTTAACTCATTGACCCCTGAAATTTCATAATGAACTATTCCATATTTGAATTGGAAGAGTTCAAATGTGTCTTCAGGGAGGAATGAGTTAAGCTCACCTGCCTGAAATGTAAATGAGCTTATGCCATGGCGTGACATCCATTGTCTCCATCATACAGCATCCGTCTTGCCTCAGTTTTTTTCTATAACCCCCCCACCCCCACCCCAAAAGGCCTAGGGTAATGATATTGGGCTAGATACATGCTCAGGTGAAGGGCAAATTCCTTTGTTCAAATGAATGACCATGAATTCACCACATTTAAGGTAAAATGGGGTCAAAAAAGTATAAAACCTTTGAACAAGGTTGTGGGGTTAAGCATCTTCTTCTGATCATGAACAACAAAGAGGATTATACAGACATGATGTTTGACGGTTGTAGCTCTAAGCTGGAGGGAGGACTATCAAGTTTGTTAAAATAGGTGACCTTGATTTTCTTTTAAGGATACAGGACTGAAATCAGTTAAAATAGTGATCCAATTTGGAAGGCACAAATATCATGTGAATTTTGCTGTTCAGCCACTTTGGCTGAGGTTGAAAGTAGCTGTATTGTTAAAGAGTGAAGTTCTATTTGAATGAGTTTGGCTTTGGAGGGAAAAGAGTATGGTGGAAGTGTAGAATCAGGAATGAGTGCTGATATTATTATTAATCTTTATATAATATTCTGAAGGTGTGCGTGTGTCTCTGTTAAATGTGAACCAATGGGAAGAAGTTACCCTATATTGCAAACAAATGTGGTTGTATTTTTTATGCCCCCGCCATAAAATGGTGGGGTATATAGTGTTGCCCATGTCTGTCCCGTCCCATCCATGAGCGGGGACATTTATGTCTTACACATATATACCCTGAAGCTATGTATACAGCTTGATTTCATTTGAGGTAATTACCTAAGAAAAACCAGCTGACCTATTATGATTGCCTTCTGTCTGTTGTTCCTCTTTGTCCTTCATGCTATGTATGTCCATGAACCATTCACTTCTTCTCCAGAACTGCTAAATCAATATCAATAAAATGTTGCAAGTATCTTCCAATTGCTAAAACTGATCTGAAAATGTGAATTCTTTGATTCACTCCCCTAAGTGGCTTAAAGGGTGGAGTCATATTGGCTATCAGCAATCTTCTTCTTTACAACCAAATATGCTAGAATGAAACACTCTTCATAGGTGGAACATTCCTAAGATTGTGAGTTTCATTTTGAGGGTATATAAAGTTTTACTGTCTATATGCAGTAAATAATTCATACTTGGTTGAAGTATATATATATATCATATTCATGTGATGGACAAATTGATTGTACAAAAAATTTAAAACCATAACTAAAAAGGGTGAAATAAGTTGAACTGTTTCTCCAGGAATGTGTGCATATAGGATTTAAAGCATGTTGTAATTCCATATAGTAATCAACATTTTATAACTGGTATACTGATGAGGATTAAGGAAGACATACATAAGCTTCTGTTTTCTGATAGGTAACAGATATTGTTACATATGTGTTAGTAATTTGCCAACATCATTTTGACAGCAAATCCACAGTTAAAAAACAAACTAGTTGATAGATGTATGTATGTACTATTTTCGGTTCCTATTCTTACATGTATGTCCTAACAACAGATTCAACTCTTTTGCAACTCAGATTATCATTAACGCTATTGTTTTTTTTTTGTAAGCTCACCTGGTCCGAGGTAGCATTTTATAGGAAAAGTTGACAGAGGGTCGAACAGGCGCCGCGCCATATATAACATAACTAGTCCTGAACGGCCGAGTAGATTTTGACTAAATTTGTATAAACGGTGGGTGTGGCCCCCCTGGGACCAGAGGGGCAGGACCCAATAGGGGAAATAGAGTCTACCATAGAAATTAAGACCTTCTTTTTGTGCTGTGCACTCCACCATCCCAAGATGTCCTTGTTTACCAAATCTTGTTACTACAGGTGAAATAGCATAGAAGATATGTCCCGGACAAACTCGGACAGAAGGACAGACAAAGTCCAAACCTGTAGTCATTCCCCCCCCCCCCCCCCCTAATAAACAAGAGGGTTAAGTAAACCAAATACAAAAACATGTTCATATTATATTTTACACCACTCCATGTTTACTTCAGCTGATAAAACTCACCTATCATGGCTGCTAGCTATCTTGAGACTGAACTCTGTAAAATCAAGAGATTTACATTACATCTGAATTGGTATACTAAAAGATATGTGTAAGACATGAATGCCCCTGACGCCAGTCTCTGTGTTTGATAATGCCTATAAATAGATACAACAACTATGGTCTTGACACCCTGAAATGTGTATGCATTCAAGGTATTATCATTTATTTCATGTTGATAATATTAATGGGGAAATACAGAGAAAATAATACTATGAATAGCAACATGCAGTGACCTTTGTAACAGGAACTCATCCGAGGCATTCTCATACTTGAAATCTGTATAAACTTTGGATTAAAATCTGTTAAGAAATGAAGTAGCTAGAGTGATGACACTGAATAGTTTGATGACTTTCTATAAATATAACAACAGTGACCTTGGCCCTCAAAACCTGAAATACAAAGATGTCTGACCTTTGTATAATTTTTAATCAAATTCCATCAGTAAGTTACAATTGTTGGTAGACTGATGACACTGAATTGGTTGATAATTTCTATATATAGCATTATTATTTCTGACAAGTGATTGGCCAGGAGTGCTTCACGTGTCCACCGATAAAAACCGATATTGGCTTGGAGCACATGATTTTTGTTGAAGGACTGGGTGTTCTTAAAAATAGAATTATGACGTGTCTCCAAACAATACACCTTCCCACTTCCGAAGCTTTTTTGTTGTGTTTTTTTTTCAGATTGCTTACATTACTGTTTTGTAAAATAATAAAACAACTGAAGCCTTTAACTTTGGTCAATTCCTGGATTTATCGACCCCAGAAAAGATATATTGACCAAGGACTGCGTCTGAGGTCAATATATCTTTTTCCTCGGGTTAATAAATCCAGGTATCGACCTCAGCCAAAGGCTATAATGGAATAATGATGACCGTTGCCTTGACTTTGGAATCCTGAATCGAAATCGAAATCTGTATTAAATTTGATCAAAATCTGTCTGGACTCAATTTTGCATAAATGGTGGGTTTGGACCCACTGGGTGTAGAGGGACTGGACCCAATAGAGGAAATAGAGGTAAAACCTTATAATTATTCTTCTACTATAGAGATTACAGGATTTTATTCCTATTTGGTCTCCATCAAGTTCTCTAGTAGTGCCTGTTACTATTAGGGGGTATGCATTAAAACAAGATGGCCACCAGGCCGCCATTTTCGATTTTGGCATTTGAAGTTTGTTCTCGCTATATCTCAAGAAGTACAGGATGGATCTTTCTGAAATTTTATGTACATGTACATACAGTACCTACCATGGAGTGATATTATCTTTACCATATATCAATGACTTTAAACATATCCAGGTGAGCAATACAGGCCCTTTGGGCCACTTGTTACTGTACATGATATAAAGTCACCTTAACTCATTCACCCCTGAAATTTCATAATAAACTATTCCAACCATTGAATTGGAAGAGTTCAAATGTGTTTGCAGGGGTGAATGAGTTAAATACACTGTACTTCACCTTACCTGCACTGTAATTAATTTAATATCCTTTGATTTTCAGATATATTTACACAGACATGGTAACCCTGACTATTCCTGACGCTGTGACCCTGCTTGGAGTTGCCAGGCAGTTCAAGGTGAACAATCTGGTCAACCTGTGTGAAGCGTATCTCAGGATCAATACTCCAAAGAGCATAGAGGATGTAACGGCTGTCATTTCTGAAGATGAAAAACTTTCGAAACTCGTACAAAATACCAGAGTAAACACATGTGATACTGAAGACAGAATCAGGTCAGTGGCTCCAGAACTTCACAGTTCTGTTGATGACGTTTCTTCTGCACTTCCTGCAAGTAAATTCCTACTCGATGATCAGCCAAAGTCTGGAGTAAACATCACTTCAGTTTCACAAGCATTGCAAAACTTGCTAAAACGCAGACAAACTGTTGACAGCACGTCTAAGCCGGCGAAGGCTAGTGTATTGATGACACTGGAAGGCAGTGTCATGACGAAGCGCAGATGTGTGACAGACGATGCACCTACGTCTGTTGAGGTCAGTTCTGTGGTTCCTGTTCGTCAGCCGGGGTCAAAACAACAACATATGGATAGTGTGTCGAAACCTTCAGACGACATCGGTCCGGCTCTACCTGTAAACTATCCTCCGTCACAGTATGCCAAGAATAAGATGGTGGCAATAACAAATCTCGAAAATGGTTTTGTAGATGAAATCTTGGGAAAAACGTCTGAAACACAACCTCTGGATGGGAAAGTCTCATCAACAACACATCTGGGAGATAAAGGAGTAGAGGTTAAATATCAAAGACAAACTCTAAGGTATAACTTTGTAGGGAAAACTTTGAATGGTCCGCATATTGAGGAAACCATCTCGGGTACGACATCACAAGAACAACATCTCAAGGATGAAGTCTCTAGGAAAACATCTCAGGAACAATATCTGGGCAATAAAATCTCAAGGAAGAAGTCCAGGTGTAAAACTCTGGCCCCAAAAACCTCTGAGAAAACATTTCTGGGTAAACACTTGAGTGATGAAATTCTGGGGAAAACATCTCAAAGGGAATTATTGGTGAATGACGTCCAAGGAAAGGTATCGCAGGGACAGAATTTAGGAGGTACGTCCTCGAAGGTGATTACTCAAAAAAAACGACGAAGGGGTAAAAACTTGGACACAGCAAGTTGTGGACAACCAGACAGTGCTAAAATAACAGTTGGTATGGCAACGGCTGTTTGTAATGGTTCAGTGACAGATCTAACGAAACGTGACTCGTCTGTTGATGCTCGGAACAACAGTTCGGATAGCTGCAATGGACACATTACCAAAAACGATACTATCGTTGATCGTCAAGATGTCACTAGTACGAAACCTGTCAGTGACAGCCAGAATTATAACAGATCTGGTGTCAGTACGAAACCTGCCAGTGATAACCAGAATTATAACAGATCTGGTGTCAGTACGAAACCTGCCAGTGATAACCAGAATTATAACAGATCTGGTGTGAGTGCGGAACATCCTACTAAACCTATCACTGATAAAGAAAACAACATCGCATGTACCATCCCTGTTGTTTCTGGTCAAGAAAAAAGCAGTGTTAAAGAACAAATCAACAACCTTAAGTGCCAGATAGAATACCTGAAAGCTGATATAATCAACAACCATGGTTACCTGGTAGCTGACGATAACAACAGCTCCCCCATCTGTCAGGACGAATGTACGATCGTCGCTATGGAGAGTGGAACAAGATGGCGAGGTGCCAGTGACACTGACGATGCGTACGAGGGAGATGTGCAGCCAACAGATCAGGTTGTGATTGATGAAGAGAACGAGGCCACTCCTTTAGACCTGACAACAGCACCAGGCATTAGTAAGCAGAGTTATTTTATGTTATTATTTACCAACAAATATTTCCCCTTAAATCATTGAATGGCTCATATTGTCAAACTATGGTAGGGATACATGTACAATATTGTCAATTTGTGGTAGGGGTATTATATTTTCAATTTGTGGTAGGGATACAATATTGTCAAACTGTAGTAAATTTACAATATAGTCTAACTGTGGTTTAGTTAGTTTAACTCGTTCACCCCTGAAAACCCATTTTGAACTCTTCCAATTCAAAGGTCGGAATAATTCATTATGAAATTTCAGGGATGAACAAGTTAAAAATGAACGAAGAAAAGTAATCATGAACACTTGTCATTACATAAATGTTGGTTAATTACATGTTTATGAAACGAAACTGTACTGGGTCGATCGTCGGCAACTAGGTACATCAATTAGTAGAGTGTCTCTCTAGAGTTTCGAGAGTCCCTGATTCAAGCCCCAGTCTCGTCGTACATTTTCCCGCCCCTATTACATATATATATATATTAACTTGGTGGTAATCATGAACCCATAGTGGAGATCAGAATCTATATTGAAGATGAGGCTTAACTGCCAAGGGGCTGATGGGTATAGGGACATAATTAGATAAAAGGTTGTAGACCTTAAAACCTTCCAAAAAACTCTTCTTTGAGAACTTAAAGATGGATTTTCACCAACTTTTCATGCAATGATACTTAGATGATGTGGATCAGAACATTTACACAAGAAGGGTCTGACCCCCGAGGTAAGGCTTATAGGGGTCACTTAGTTCAAAAACCTGAATCAATCTTACTTTTGACTTCAGAAGCTACTATCAGAGAAACTCTCTGTCAGGTTTTGATGAAACATGGTGGTAGTAATAGTTAGAAAAAGGTGGGGGATCACATCAATATAGAGGAGGCACTGTAGTCTAGTGGTAGGACGCCGGGCTCGTGACCGAAGGGTTGCGTGTTCGAGTCACGGCACGGCACTGTGTTGTATCTTTGAGCAGGATACTTTATTCTGCTTGTCCCAGTCTACTCTAGAGGTGTCACGATTCACCGAGATGCACTTGTACCGCTATTATATATGTTTGATTCGATTCAGGATTTATTTTTCCGGATTTTCGTTATGTCACCATCTGAATATTAGTGTATGCCGCTTCAGCCGAAACGTCTGTGAGACGTTCAATTTCATTGGCTGATCTCTAAACTCTCAGCCAATCGACTGCGAGGATGCAATTATCGCAAAGCATTCATAACAAAATGGCGGAACGCGGTAAGGAAATGAAAATTTGTGATGCTCCGGCAAGCTTCAAATCAAAAGTGTGGAAAACACTTCGGGTATCCGTGTACCAACGACTGATATATCTCATTTTGTTTATATCTTATAATAAAGGTGTATCGAATCGAAATAATCGAATTGTGGAACAAATATTGAGATACGTATCGAATCGTGGGTAAAGTGTATCGTGACAGCTTTAGTCTACTCAGCTGTAAATGAGTACATGGCCCTATAACCACGGATAATAATTTCTGAACCGCTTTGACTAGACCTACAAACTAGGTTGTGATAAAGCCGTATATAACACAGGGGCATGGATCGCTTTACGTGTAATATTAAAAAAAGAGTCTCCTATACTAATATACATTTATTAGTATAGGAGACCGTTTTTTAATATTACAAGTAAAGCGATCCATGCCCCTGTGGTATATAAGAACCTCAAATTATTATTATTATTATTATTATAGGGCTGAGTTTTTAGATGTGAGTGCATTTTGGGGTAAATTTTTTACTTAATTAGTGATCCCTGATATTTACTAGTTATATATAATATATATATATAGGATTTAACATGAGTTTCTATTTCATATGAGATTTATGAAACAAGTCTAAGAATTTTTCAATTAAGCGAGCCTCTGGTGAGCAAAAGTGAAAAATTCATGGCGAGTTTCATAAATTTCATATGAAATGAAAAAAAGATCCCTTTTTAGTTTTATCACATGATCAAGATTTGTGGCATTTATTCAGGTAAAACGACAATTTCATGCAACCTTGAAATGTAAAAACCCGTCGTTTCGACTCCAGTGTGAAAGTCTGTGATGGCATGTACTTGTCCTAGGCGTGACGTCACAATTAAAACAATTGAAACAATTGATTACAGGGCTGATAGGTGATTATACATGGGTTTATACTAAAAAAAACATGACATGGGTATATTCGCTGGATAACACAGTACATTTTAAATTTGTGATAATTACATATATTAATGTTGGTCCCTCCCCAAAATTATTTTGTAAAAGTCAATCCCCAGTCAAAAAGACATATTTGATCATATGTACTCCATTCTTTGTCACATCAAAATAACCAGGATGCAGTAACAATTGAATTTTAACTCGGGTATAAGACCCACAACCTCTTGTTTTTAATAATTTTATTTATATTTCCCTCAATTTATCACAAAAACCCTTTATTATGCCAAAGTTTTCTTCTACATATGTTGGCAGTGTAAAAGGTTTCACTGTATATCAGGGCTTTGTTCTTTGATATTTCTTTTACGAAGTTTGTGGGGTAGGGGGTGGGGTTAATGAGGAATCACACTGTACACCCGTCTGCCCTTGAACCTCGTAAGCCCAACTTCTCCTAAAACGTTTACAAGCTGGATTTTTTGTAACTTTATACAGTGAAAGTAGGTCATACATGTAGATGTGCATGCTGAAATGAATTTGCGATTGGAATATTTTTCAGGGAGAAATTGCCCATCAAATTTTAATTTCTCCTCCAGAAATCTTGCAAACACAACTCCTTAACCATTTGTTGGATTTTCTCGTAACTTTGCACGGGGAAAGATTATCATATGTATATGTACATGACGGAAGGGATTTGAGATTGAGGTATTATACATCCTGCAAAAAAAGTTCAAATACATAGATAAAATGAAGCGGGGGGGGGAGGGGAAGATATTTTTATAAGCTTGCTCACAGAGATATTGGAGATCTTGATTTCTTTTAACAATCTTATAGTGCATTCTTTGTTATTTTAAAGGTGGAACTAAAAAAGTTACAACTTCAATCCAACACAGAAATATGCCAAGTTTACACTCACTTGGTGTATGTTCTGTTGGAGAAACCTACAGACCACAATCTGAAACAGTTCAGGAAAGTCATGCCAATAAAAGTGAGAAGGTTGTAAAGAAGAAGAACAAGAAAAAGAAGAAAAAGAAGAAGGGGAAGAAAATTCTTAATGAAGCCACTGTAATAAAAACAGCATCGGTGGTGGAGGAGACAGCAAACAAAAAGAGATATGTGGAAAAAAATGTAAAACACAGACAGCAAATTTTGAAGGAAGAAAGTAAAAAACCAAGAGAAAGTGTGAAGAATAAGAAAACAAGTAAAACTCCTACAATGACCCTTGACAAATGTGAAGTTTGTGGAGAGTGTTTCACCTCGGCTATCTCCCTACTGATCCACATGAGGGAACATGCAGGAGAACAGATCCACCAGTGTGCTCTGTGTGGGAAAGGTTTCACACTCCTGGGCGCTCTTCAACATCACATGCAGAAGCACAAAGAAAAAGAACTCATGCGTTGTAAGATCTGTGGAAAGTGGTACGCCTCAAAAACCGCATTTAAACGTCACTGTAACGCGCATAATGACGCCATTCTGAAATGCAAAGACTGTGGACTAATTTGTGAAACAAAACTGCTTTATAATAGACACATGAAAAAGGGAAAGCATAAAATGGACTCCTTACAGTATAAATGTCGGAATTGTTGTGAAGCATTTATGTTTAAAAGGGAGCTTACAAAACACAACAAAATACACATTAAAGGGTTCAAATGTGAGGTTTGTAATAAATCTTTTTCGAGTAAATGGGGACGGGAAAGACATTTAAAGTTACACAAAGCTGGAAAAATTGAGAAAAAAACCTACAAATGTGACAGCTGTACCTGTGTGCTAGATAGCCCTGAATCATTGTCAGAGCATTCTAAGGTCCACAAGAATAGCATAGAATTAGATAGTCCTGAGGCACAGTTAGAACTGTCTAAAGTACACAAAGAAGGCCAAGCGTCAGATGATTCAGAGTCACAGTTGGGGCGCACTGGTAATCAAGAGTCACAGTTGGATCAGACTGATAGTCAAGCGTCACAGTTCGAGCACACTTATTGTCCGGACTCACAGTTCAAGCAGACAGATTGTCCGGAGTCACAGTCAGGGCACACTGATCATCCCGAGTCAAAATTGGAGCATACTAATAGTCCGGAGTCCCCACTGGAGCACATTGATAGTCTGAAGTCACAGTCTGGGCACATTGATAGTTCGGAGTCACAGTCCGGGCACATTGATAGTCCGGAGACACAGGCTGAGCACATTGATAGTCCGGAGACCCAGGCTGAGCACATTGGTAGTCTGGAGACACAGACTGAGCACATTGGTAGTCAGGAGACCCAGGCTGATCACATTGGTAGTCAGGAGACCCAGGCTGAGCACATTGATAGCCCGGAGACACAGGCTGAGCGCATTGATAGTCCGGAGACACAGGCTGAGCTCATTGATAGTCCGGAGACACAGGCTGACCACATTGATAGTCCAGAGACACAGGCTGAGCACATGGGTAGTCAGGAGACACAGGCTGAGCACATTGGTAGTCAGGAGACACAGACTGAGCACATTGGTAGTCAGGAGACACAGGCTGATCACATTGGTAGTCAGGAGACACAGACTGAACATACTGATAATTTGGAGTCACATTTGGCTCACATAGAAAAACAAAAGGAAGAATTCTTGACATGTGATCTTTGTAGTAAGAGTTTTGACCATATTGAAAATTTGGAGGCACATCAAAAGACACACCAGGCCAAGGATGTGTACGAGTGTATACTTTGTAAGAAAATGTTTCTCAAGAAATGCTTTTTAGATAGACATTATAAATATCACTCCGGCGACCAGTACTTTTCGTGTGATTTGTGTGACGAGGGATTCGACAAGAAGAAAGAGCTGCTGCAACATCAGTTCACGGCTCACGACAAGAAGATGGCATATAGTTACAGCTGTAGTACGTGTTATTTGGTGTTTAAATCTCACAAGTCATTCAGGAAGCATATGTTGTGTCACTCCAACACACTGAAGAACACATCACAGAACAAACTGGAGAAACCCCAACAACAAACATGACACACCATGCAAACCAAAAGATGCACAAGAAACAGGACACAGAAATGAGAAGGTACAACCTAACACACTGCAGAAAAAATTACCAAAACCCGCAAAACAGGGTGATACCTGACATAGAAATGACAAGATAAAACCTGAGACACTGCAGAAAAAATAACAAACACACACACAACAGGGAGAAACCTAACATAGAAACGACAAGGTAAAACCTGAGACACTGCAGAAATATAACAAACACACGCAACAGGGAAAAACCTAACATAGAAATGACAAGATAAAACCCGAGACACTGCAGAAAAAATAACAAAAACACGCACAACAGGGAGACCTAACATAGAAATGACAAGATAAAACCCGAGACACTGCAGACAAAATAACAAAAACATGCACAACAGGGAGAAACCTAACATAGAAATGACAAGATAAAACCCGAGACACTGCAGAAAAAATAGCAAAAACATGCACAACAGGGAGAAACCTAACATAGGAATGACAAGATAAAACCCAAGACACTGCAGAGGAAATAACAAACACACACAACAGGGAGAAACCTAACATAGAAATGACAAGATAAAACCTGAGACACTGCAGAAAAAATAGCAAAAACATGCACAACAGGGAGAAACTAATGCAGGAATTGAGAGATAAAACCTGAGACACTACAGAGGAAATAACAAAACACACAAAACAGGACAAAACTAATGCAGAAACCACAAGAAAAAAGCAAACACACTGCAGAAACTAACAAAACACACAAAACAGGACAAGCTGTATCTAAAACATAGGATAGATATTATAAGCTGTATGACAAAATCCACCACAACTGGATGACACACTGCAGAACAAGACAATATACAAACCGGAAGATAGCACAGAATATACATTGTTGAACAAGTGATGTATTTACAAAATGTGTAGAAATATACTTGATGTACAAAAATGAATTCAGGGATAATTTTGTACAAAGTAGCAAAAACGAATAATTTGTATACAAACAAGCTATATGGATAATTTATGTACAAAATAGCTTTATAGATAATTTAAGTACGAAATAGCTATATTGATAATTTATGTGCAAAATAACTATATGTATATGAATAATTATGTACAAAATAGCTATATACGGATAACTTATGAACACACTTAATGTATATATATGGATAATTTATGTACAAAGTAGCAATATGATTTATATATGTACAAAATGGCATAGAGGGATAATTTATGTACAAAAATAGCAAAGATGATTATTTAAGTAAAAAGTAGCTATGTGGATATTTTTGTACAAAATAGTTATATGGATAATTTATGTACAAAATAACTACATGTATATGGATAATTTACGGAACGGAGAGATATTTTTACAAAATAGCTCAGAGAATTGACTTGTATACAAAATAGCATCGAGGGTTAATGAATGTTCTGAATAATATAGATGGAAAATTCTATCCGACCCACGGGTCCAGATCGCTTACACGCGCAGACTGGCAGGGGAATTATAGTGACCTTTCGGGGTCGTCATGTTATTGTTCGTGACGTCATTGTATGACGTTTTGGGGTCAGTCAGGATCATTGACGTCACTAACAATTGCCATCCGGGCTTCATATACAAATGAGAAATATGCGGACAGTTTATAACTTTACTAGAAAAGCAGCTGTTTTTACGGGTTTTAGGTAATAAGCAAGAAATAGATTCCATCCCTGATGTGAGGTAATTATACGGTTTTTCAAACCCTCGTGATAAAATATTGAGCAAAAGACCCTCGGCAAAGCTTCGGGTCTCTTGCTCAATATTTTATCCCTTGGGTTTGAATAACCTTATCCATACCTCACATCAGGGATTGATTATATTCTTACTCTACGATAGCTGATAAAATGCATAGTCATTAGATTAATAGTTCTTATGGTATGCTGCTGATGAGAATTAGCTGTCATAATAAATTCGCTCTCAAGGCGAATGTTAAACTAAAGCGGAAATTTTCCGGCAAATAGTATGTACTTGATTTTGTGCGGATGGACGTTTTTTAAAAAAAAAAAAGATCCCGGAAGTGATCTTCGGTAAAAAAAAATCAAAGTGATATTTTTATCAAAACAGGTAATTTTATTCATTTATAGTTGTTAAGAGACGTCGTATTATTCACACACATATTTATATATATATATATCATTTTGGATTGTTTTAAAACCTGTCTTCAGGTTTTTTTTCGTGTTATAACATTCTAATATCATTTTTATTGATAATTGTTAGATTTATTGTCATATTTTTTTAATACTAGTCGTAATGAAACTGAAGTATAGTTTGACGATTTCTAGAATTTTCAATGTCGGTAATATCGAAATTACAGAAAAAAACAGTTATCATGTATCTATGTAATCAGGTTTGAGTAACTGATTTTGCCAAATATGCAACTTGATTTATTTTAACCTAATACATTAACATGAGGTGTGGATATTCAACAATTTGTCCTCGAAGAAACTGCTTAAACGTCTGTTAAATTGCACTGGAGTCAAATGCTATAGTGTTATAATTTCTGTAAAATGCAAGATCAAGTGTCAATTTGTTTGTCTGTTAACTAACAGTGTTAGAAGTTATTAGTTTTCAGTTTTGCTCTGATGTGCTACGTTATCTACTTTCAAGGCTGCGAGGACAAATGTGTCAAACGTTTGAACAGGATTTTATCAGGCAAATAAGGTCTTTGGGCTTTTTGTTATGGATTCGATGATATTAGTTGTATATTTATGGGTATTTTAATTTTTGTTATTTTGTTGTACCCAATTACATGTTATGTACTATTTTACAAATTGTTTCACTTAATTTTGTTAATGTTTGTTTCAAATTAATGTTTTAATAATAATGCCTTATTTTATTTCCCGTTACATATTGTTTTACAATGTTGTGCACTGGGTAACAATGGTACAAGAGCATATCATATGTCTCATTGCCAAAGTTACGGACAACTGTGTTAAAAGCGCTGCATACGAAGAAGTGGTCACGTGTTTGGCAATGTAAACCTTAATATGGTCACGACACATTTTCATTGTATTAAACGAAACAAAGACAACAATTTTGTACCACGTTTTAATTTTGCTTCTGGCGATTTATAAATGATACAAGTATCGAGCTAGAGAAATTCACCTTTAGCAGAATTTGTATGTATTTCATGCTTGCCACCTGGTTATCTGCTTAGTTTCCTTCACTTTTATAATTTGGTTTCCATAGTTTCTGAGATTGAAATAAATGTTCAATCGGCCTTTTAATTTCATCATCCTCACTTACCTTTATTAAACTTGCTTAGTATTTCCATACATCTTTTTAAATTTGCTTTAGAAATATCTCAACTTCTACTATAAATTAGATATCTAATTTTAAGCGTTTTTTATATTTACTAAGGACTAAATTGAAGTCATGATATGGGAATATTGTTAGAAATTCTTCTCACAATATAACAAATAACAAACCAACTTAAGAATTTTTCAAATTTTTGAGAAAAAACCCGAAACCCGTTTCGATTCTTTCACTCGTTAAAAGGAAGCAGGTTTTACCATGTTTTGTTTAATTTTTGAACATTTGCTATTAGAAATATGATACACTTGATAATAGTTATGGGTTGAGAATAACATTTTGTCGGAATTTTATGAAATATTTAAGTGATCACCTCATTTATTAGAGTTGATTAGTTTGCTATTTGATATGCAGAAGTCGGAGCAGCTATGTGCATACCTCTGCGTAAAAAAAATATTCAAAATACTCCCGTATTTTATGTTTTGCTTTTGCTTAAATCAGTTCTGAGTGTTAATGAATCTAATCACTGTATTTAAATGTAACATAGTGATGGTTTGGCGAAATATAAAAGATGGCCTACAATCTTCAAACCCACACTCTTCATATTTTCAGGATATTATTACTAACTCATATTTCACCAAAGTGTTTGCCGATACTTGCCAACTCTCCCTATTTAGGAGGGAGACTCCCGATTTTGGACCCTTAACTTGAACATTATCAAACAGTGAATTTGCTATTCCTATTTTCTAAGATTTTTATATGAAAGAACAGCTCAAAAGATGTCATTTAAAAGTATTATTGTGTACTAGGGTGTACAAACACACGCTTTATTTATGTTTTTAATGCTGAGCACATGTAATCTTCCCCATGGAAATTTCAGAAAGGCGTAAAACGGGAATTATGGGTACGTTTGTACCTTGGCGTATGCTAGTTTCATTACTCTAATCAGGTGTTATATATATCCTAAAACATGCTTTACTATTTATCACGTTTGTGATGACCAGTTGGAAGCGTTTGCATAGGTCAATAATCCACTTTTATGTTAACTTTGACCCGAAAGAAATGGCGTTGATATACAGTGTCGCATTCGTTTTACATCAATGTCTTCATTCATAACGTTTTTCCCGTCAAAAAATGATAATGTGTGTAAAATATGACATTACTGATATTATTATATATATATTATAGAATCAAACAGTTCTTTAATTTTTGAAGGTTGGTTATCATGTTTATTTAATTAAAGTTATTTAGTTTTTGAATCGTAAAAGGCGCTCAATGTTAAACCTTGTGTTTAAAATGATTCAATCATATATTCATTATAATTATGTTGCTCGATCGACATAGATTGATAACAAGCCAGCACTATTTTGAAGTCTTAATGCGTATTAAATTATTACATAAATATGGAAAGCTATCATTTCATAATAATACAATAATAAATTGTAGCGAAGAAAATCCCGGTTGTTAACTTATCTTTGAACATATATGTTAACATTGATGTTACAGACATTTTGATGGAGATTTTTTTCAGTAAAACGGACTTTAAATTCCGTGATAAAACCGACATTGTTAAATTTATTAATGTTCTGTTCTTGCAGTAGAAGACATGAGTAGTATACAATACATTGCGTCCTAAGTCACGGAAAACTGTTAATTGTTAGTTTATCTCTGAACATTGGCTGGTTGTGAAGGCCCTTTGGCCATTTGGTAGTGATAAAGCGGTATACACGTACCTCCCATTTTCCATTATTATTATAACATGTTTTTACGTTGATGTAGACTTTTTAATAGCTAATTGTTTTCAGTAAAACCACGGACTTTAAATTCCGTGGTAAAACCGACACTTAAATTTATTTATGCTCTGTTTCGTAGTAGAAGACATGAGTAATATTAGATACATAGCGTCTCAAGTCACGAACCTTAGAAATATACAGATGACGTCCAGTTCTGGAACTTCTTTTTTCATTCAGTTAGCGTTCAGTTCAATGGAGAATATCAACTACGAAAATAAAGACGCCATCTGATATCGCCTCAGAGAAATTTACATTAGTAAACAAACTTGCTGTTAATCTTGTATAAACTACTTCAATTTTAAAATATACTTCTTATATACAAACCTCTTCCCTGGTCTTTCCAAATATGTAAATCGAACACCATAAAATATCGATAATAAGTCTTATTATTAAATATGCCGTCGTTCAAACTTAGATTCCTTGAAGTAAGCCTATCTTGAAATCTGTACATTGGAAGCCACGTTTCCCCTGTCAGCTTAAACAGTTAGCTATCACATCATGTGATTTATTATTGCAGCAATATGATAAAAAAGTGTTGATTTCTTAAAAAAATAAATGTATAACATATTGTCCATACCAAAGAAGAAGGATGACATTCTGATCTAAATTATACTTCCTCAATTAGAGTTTCCTAATTGATAGACTCATACTCCGGATCTTGACATGGTTTTGTTAGGTCAAGAATCGAAATTAGTAATCTTGCCATACATTCAGTTTAAATATAACACTGCCTATTAACAGGTAAGACATGTTTCCAATCAAGACATATTTTCCAAATAAGACATGTTTCCAATCAGGACATATTTTCCAGGTAAGTCATATTACTAAGCAAATAGCATACTACCATTCAAGACATGTTACCAGGCAAGACATTATCAGGCATAACATATCACCAGTCATACATATTAACAGTAAAAACATATTGCCAGTCATTACATTTTACCAGTCAAGACATATTACCTGTCATTACATTCTACCAGACAAAACATATTACCAGGATATATCTTACCATATAGGAAAACCGGTATATTGAAATACACAGTCATATTGTATAGTATCGGAATACAGATGTATGATCTTTCGCAAATTGTTTTCAATATCCCAATGTTTTTAATCAACTAAGTGTTCTAATTTTGAAAATTAATACACATTCAAGAGATTACCCCCAACGAGTGATGGTTGGTTATTATGTTTATCTAACTCGAGCTAAATAACATTTTAATTGCATAAAGACACAAGACTTACTGAGTCTTTATGCAATTTGAAAAGTAACTAACTCGAGTAAGATGAACATGATTACCAACCATCACTCGTTTGGGGACAATCGCTATATATATTTTGAATAGGGCTCCACCAATGCTTCAATATTATATCCAAAAAAACAACATGTTTTTCATGGGAAACAATTCATGTTTCCGATCGAAGAAACAATTGCCGTTAAACGTTCCTTTTGCATCACAATGGAAGATGACGTCACAAAGCATTGTTACCTGACGTCATGATTAGAAGGTTGACCAATGAAATAACGTCCAGGGTGTAACCCATTTTTGGGTAACCAATAATGTTACCTTACTTTTAATAGATTCATCCCATGAGTTCGGAAAACTAAACTGGTTGTGGGAGAACTGTCAATAACTATAAACATTTTCTGCAACGAAGAAACGTTTCTATCAAAGTGATTTATATTGTACGGGTGAAAAGTAATGTGATTCATTTTGATAATGTTTTAACAAATGAAACAACTATTTCCTGTGACACTAAATCGGGATACATATCATAACAGATTCTTTTTGTAATGCAATGTATTGTGATACATTCTAGGCGTATTTTGACGCCCCTAGTCCAGTTGGGTATTACCAGTCAAAACATGTTACCAGGCAGTACACATCATCCGTATATATTAATTATTAGTCCAGACGCTGGTACTAGTCAGGAAAACAAACGTGTGCCAGCTACACTGTAAATCGATAACGAAACCGATTAAAATAGGACATAATATGGGCAAAGGAAATATTTGCATGGAGACCCGAGAAAAGTAGAAGGATATTAAGACCATGTGTTCCGGAAGTTTAGGCGTCTTCTGCTTCATCCACAATATGTCAAACCTAGGATAAATCCAAGAAATGTCATGACCTTCTACCAACAGTAGGGGTAATGACAACAAATATGAATATCATAAAATACATCGACGTCCATATCAAACAAAGAAATAGCATATTTCCCAATGATATCATGATGTCTAAACAATAAAACTTGTCCATAATATTCATCAACCTGCGTGTACATGTGTTGACCGTTTAAAAACCGAATCAGTAGGTTGGAAACAAAACAATGATACTATCAAAAAAGGTAAAATTTGTGTTTAAAAAGTAGAAACATTTATTACAAATCAAGACGCATGTTCACTCAAGAAGCCAGTGCAGTCAAAACACCTTTTTTTGAAAATCAAAAATGCATTAAAATATGTATTATACTGCCAATTTTAGGATCAAAAATCTACGAAATTGTTCAACGAAAGAGTTATCTATATACGTGTATGACTAAGGGTTACTAAGAATTACTTAACGAGATAGCGTTATCGAGATTGCAATATCAGTTGTCCTTTGAATGCCCTCGAGGTCATCAGTCATTATATTACGACTTCGTCGTAACAGATTGAAGTATACCGTTTAGTTCAGAGGACCTGTACTGTATCCAGCATGTTATTTGCCGTAATACTTTGTGTACTGCTCTTTGCGGGTCATTCACACGGTAAGGTGCCTCATAACAAATAACTTTATTGACCATTTAAAATACTTAAATATATAGTTATTATAGGAGATGTTAATTGGGGTTCGTCCCGTTGTCTGTCCGTCTGTCTAATTGGGTTCCTTGCAATAAGTCTCCTAATCACGGTTGGATGTTATTCAATTTTTGCTCAAACATTCCTATTGGCATGCGTCAGGCTAAAAAGTAAGTTTGTAACTTCGATATTCGGTGTGTCCATATTTACTCATAAAATATAAGGCCACAAACTTTGGATTGATTAATTGGTTTTATTGCAGTTCTCCATTAACAACGGTTTGATTTTAAATAATTTGTATTTTATTAATTTAATTTTCGTTTACCTGACTTTACGTTACCTGTCTTGTTCAAGTCTTTTGAACTTCCAGGTAGCTGCCCGGCGGGATATCTAGTGGAAGGGGAGTTTTGTTTCTTCTTCAGTGAAATAACTGGTACCTGGGCCGAGGCAAACGTAAGTGCTCTGTATTAATAATTATGTTCATGTATTTGTCTGTGTAACATGTATCATATTATCATATTATCTATAAATCAAAATTGAAAGAAAACATATGTTGTAGCATTTATGCTTAGTTAACTCGTTCCCTAATCTCCTTTGTCATGACGTTTTATTTTATAGGATCATTTTTTTTATTAATTAAAAAACAGTCATGTGACCTCTTCCATTATGTTGCAAGATGTCTAAAGAGGCCATTTCTGAAGCTGTTCATTGAAGGGATTTCTTTGTTATTTAAACCAGCGTTACGAGACCACTAGATTGAGACGTTTTCACGTAATAACTAATGTTAAGTGTCAAATAAATATAATAAATAGAGTCCTAAAAGGACAATACAATTAAAAAAAAGCCGATTTTCAAACTCGACACGAGCAGACCATACGCTGTGGTATATGTTGTAAGATCGTTTACTTATTTCAAATTCCAGGTGACATCGATACTCCTTTCCACCATGAATATAATTACATGAATAGGGTTTAGTTTAGGGGAGGACTGGTTGGAAATACACAATTAACTGACACGATTCCTATAATTTGGCACACCATGAAAATTGTAAGATTGCAAATCGATGATTTGAAACCCCTTAAATGGCCTGCTGCACAGCGATTTGTTCAACCAGTTAAACTATTTTATACATTAATGAGACAACGCAAGTTAAATCAATTGCATCTAGGATGAAATGAGTTAATATGTTATTTTGTAGAGCTACTGCAGGACCTTCAATGCTGTGCTATTCGAGCCGAATACTGAGGATCGTCAAACTGCGTTGGCCAAAGCCTTGCAACATGTATCAGGTGAGGACATGTTCGGATAAGTCCATAGCTACATAATCTCTCCATACAGTTAAAGCGCACTTTGTGTTATTCAAATAATAATGAAACTTTATTCCTTTGAAATTTAATATTTTCTTGTTTTGGTTGTACACCTGCTGTAAAATTTATAAAAGTGCAAATAATCATGCTGTATTGTAGTGTAATACTTAAACATTAAAAGTATTGAAAACAAGTTCTAAATTTGTAATACGCCACGGTTGGGATAATGTAAAATATGAAATACAGCAAATACGAAGTCGCAATGATAATACCACCACAGGAACTTAATGGGAGATTAAAATGACCTCAAATATAACTTCCATCATTATTTTAATCAAAGCTGTCATCAATGACAACACAATCAACAATAACAACAAGCATGATAGTATTTTGATTGGTCTGCAATAAGTTTACTTGTGGGTATGTTTTGTAGGACCAAATGGCAGAGAGTTTTTCATAGGAGGTAGCGATTTTTTTATCGAAAACCAGTGGATCTGGTCAACGGAGCAAAATCCGATAACCATCTCCCACTGGAGCCCCGGTAACCCTAGCGACAGTAACATAGGAGAGGACTGTATGGCAGTGGTAAAAGCAGGGCAGTGGAATGACATCGCGTGCGACCGCAAACTGGAGTTTATTTGCGAAAGAGGGTAAGTGTTTATTGATTTAAATGTGAGGTATAATATACACGAATTTGTTATGCGCGTGCTTTACTCTCTCTCTCTATATATATATATTTAGCGATTAATAGTTTTAAATGTCCATGTGACGGTAAACATATAAGTAAAACAAAACACGAACACTATATTTAAGGCTGTCCTTAGGTAAATTATGTCCATGCAATAATTTTAAGCCAGAAAAAAAGTTTCTTAAATATCACGCCAACCCATGGGGGAATAAAGAAACAGTTAAGCGTTTAAAGTATTTCCAAATGATAAATTAAAATAATATCATTTCCAAAGCTCGTTTATAATATCCATTGCAAACACTGCAAACATATGGGAATTCCGTGTTCTATTTATATATCTTTAGGTCAAGAATAGTTATGCAACTTATATCTGATATTGCATAATATTGAGATGACATAGCAATATAAAATATTCTATTGGATTAAAGTTACTGCTGTTGACAAGGCATTCATATTTCATTCTGAGACTTTGAAGGAAAGGGTAAGATCGATAGTGAATAAGTCTTGATTTTGACTCATGGGCCTGTACAGAATCATGTAACCATTCTCATGCTCAAGCATGGATTTAGTGTTCAAACTAACATTCTTCTGACTTGCTTCTTATTGAAAATCATTAAACAGAATTCAGTGTAAATATTGAATAACGTATTTGGCTTTGAGCCTCTTCACAAGTCCTCCATATAATTCACAAATACGATTTATTTTGTTTTGTTACCAAAACACGAAAATGGGCTTGAGCACAGAGTCTGATATTGACACAAGAATGGTCTCATGGATTCGGGTCCTATAAAAGGCATCACCAGAGTGTAAATAATAATAACATGTTTTAACAGAATGCTTCTCTTTACAAACACGCTATGATATCGGTCACTGTACTGAGCGTACTGGTGTATGACGCAAGTTTACTTCTCGTATATATTCATCCAAGATTGAATATCTGCCTTTTGTTTTGCATGGATTTTTGGAGTATCAATTTATCAATGAGCTAATCTGTAATCAACTGCAAATGCTATCAAATAACTCAAAACAGTTTCAACTTGTCTGTGATGGCATATTCACGAGTCCACCGATTAAAAACAAATTTTCACTTTAATATTTTCTAAAACCAAAACGTTCTCTTGACACGAAAATCTTCTGCAAACCTTTGAAAAATGTCATGAAAAAGTTAAAATCTCTTCAAGGAACAGCTTATGGATGGTAAAAAGCTTCGTTTTATGTCATTGATAAAAATCAAATTAATCTCGAGGCTTCAATTTCGTGCTGACATATTCCAAGGCTGCAGATAAGATATCTGTATCCAGGGGAAGCCGTTTGAAAACGAAGATGCGCAAATTAGAGCATTGAAATGATTGTAAGTAAATATCTCTTATTTTACAGGGCATTTGGGAGCGGGGACATAATTGGATAAACTCGGATGTCAGAAAAACAATTGTTGTGTGAAGGCAAGCAACAATATCATATTTCTGATCAATGATATATATACCGGCAATTCAGCACAGTTATCTGCCTTTAAATCATGGTGGAAATTAATATTAATGGTTATTGATATTAGCACTGTCTAATAAACGGTGCTTCAGTAAAAAAATATATTATGAAGAATAATATCATATTTCTGATCAGGGATACTTAAACCGGCAATACAGCACATTTCTTTGCTATTTATTTTTGGTGGATTGAAACTTCTTTACTATTATTGTTTATTGATAATAATGGCTATTAATATATTAAAACCTTTTAATATACCGTGCTTCAGTAATAAATATGTTTAATAAAGAATGACGAAAGAGCTGTATGATGAAGTGTAATTATTTGTTAGCGTACTTTTTCTATTACTAAATTTTATGGGTGCAATCATAATTATGTGTGTGTCATACTATCACCTTTAAAGATACAAATTGATGGATTCTGCTAGTGGAGCTCTTAGTTCCCCGAGAAATGCCGTACCCTGAACATCCATAGTAATTATTTTGAGTAGTATGTAATATACACACTTTACTTTTAATTTAAAATTAACCAGTAATCGTCTTGGTTTTTTAATTCATTTAATTTAGGAGTTTGACCAATTTTATAGTTGCTCTAACAAGTGTGTCTTATTTAAATTATGCAACGTTAACAAACGTATTAGATACATTCTGATACTCACAGAAAATATAACTGGCGCTGTGATGACAGCATTCACAGAAGGATTTAACGGTATTTTTGGACTCCACGATTAATATGTATGTTACCGATTTGCGTCCATACTGGCATGAACATTGAAAGATATCTTCAGTCCATATGATTATTTACATCCTATTTTTTGTTTCCATTTCTCTACAAAAGGTAGATATTTAGGTATTCCCTTCTATATCTGAAATTTAAGTGTTTGTGTCGTCAAGATTCACGGAACAGCCTAACGTCACCGAAACGTTTGCTTCGAACGGTTGCCTAACGCTATTCGAAGCAACAGGAGAATCTTCAAAATAACGCTGATCAATCTTCTGGTAAAGTTTAAAATTGAACTTGCAGTGGATACAGTTTAAACGTAAATGTGAGATACACAAATGCCTCCTCAAACCGTGATGGTTAGCTCTAATAAATATTAGTATTTCTTTAATGTAAACAACTATGAAACTAGTATCGTTGGTTAGTTTGCATGTCTTGTTAGAATGGAATAATAACTGACCCAATATAAATACACAATGTAAGTATTTTATCTGTACTTAAATAAAGGACCATAGATCTTATTCCGAACAAAAGTAAGTTGTTCACTCTATTATTTTATAATCTCAGAAGATTATTTTTTATATTTGAAAATTACCTCGTCCAGTTTGACTCCAATTCTAACGTGATGGTACATGAAATGAAACACATTAAAAGAAAACAAATTTAAGTTAGGAACTGGAACATTTATAATTTTACTGTTTTAAACAATAGATACATTCAGCTTTCTTTTTGTAGTTATTCTATACATAAGCGGTGCGTGCATCTATAAAACAGTCCATTAAGTAAAGTCCGATTCAATTCATTGGTAAGCAGGACATTTTACCTTAAACAGAACACTTAATCGAATATTGCGTGTTTTCCCACATCAGTCAACGTAAGGTTATACAAAAACCCAGTACATTCGGATTGAAGCTAGATATTTCCGAGCCGCTGTGGAGCGAATGTCTGCTTTATTGAGTGTCAGTAAAATTTATCCGTTCATACTACATCGATTTGGATTAATCCAGCTTTCACTCCCACACTTCCAACTCCCATTTGTCAAACTGAAACTGATCTGTATTTGCGTAGAATCACAATAATCCTAATCTCGAAACTGATTACAAATTTGAAAAGTCTGTGTGAAGTCACCATCTATTGCTTTGTTTAAACTTTAATGCTCGTGTGTAAGATTAAGTATCTTTTATCATTTCAAATAGGTTACCTGACGAACTAGGTTAACATAACACACTATTGTTCCTCATCAGATAAAATATTACTGACCCTCTTACATTTGTAATACAAGATACAAACAACTTTATTTAATTTCGCATACAGTTAAACCAAGAACATCAGCTCTTGAGAGCTATCATTGCGACAAACATATGTAAAATAACAATAACACATTATGTTACAAGTAAAGGGAGATAATCACATTTATAGGTAAAAAGCAATTAAAATAATTAATGCAGAAAAAGAAAGTATGATATCCCACGTTTCTAGGTGATTGGGAGTCCCCTTCCTATCAAGGCCCCCGGGATATGACACTTTTGATACAATAAATATACCAAAACAAGTGTTCCTTGAAAAGCCATAAATGTGATCACATATGTAACTAGTATTCAGATTAAGGTAATGAAGACATAGTTAATAGTGACAGAATACTTGTATATCACACAATTATTACTTCGGACTTAGGATTAAAACACAATCAAGTGGAATATGCATACAATGCTAACATAGCAAGCATAAAAATTGACAGAATATACACAAATATAATGTGAAATTAAAAAAAGACATTGGTTATTTAGATATATATCAGTGAATAATGACATCACCTGTATAAGACTAATTACGAGAGTCCTACAGATAAATATTGAGGAATCGCTATATACAATATCAGTTTAAAATAAATACAATTTATTTGGAAAGATGCAACCAACGTTCTCCCAGATAAGAAAGGCAATGGGATCTGTCCGCATGCTGGGACATACCAAATTCCTTAACATGGAAGTTGTTATTTCCTGCTTAACATTCAGCATTTAGAGTAATGACAACAACCGGCCCACTCACTGTTAGTAAAATATAGGGTTACTGTGTTGGGTGCCTTCGGCATGGTATTTCAGTGAGGTATCGCTCTAAAGTCGACATCAGAACAATTCTATCGTAGGGAGGCAAATACATCAATATTCATTGCCTCAAATATACAAACAAATACACTCATACATAAAACACACGAAAGCACGTCTATTAGTGATGTTAGCTGTTGATAGGACGTTAAAACAGGTGTCAACAATCATTAGGCTTGGTTCGGTTTGCTTGTTTGTGTTTTACGCCCTATTAACAGGTGGAGGAAAACCAGGAGAAAAATAGAACTACCGGCCTACGAACCGGCGACCAAGTGGTGGAGGGCAAGTGGTAGCAGAATGTTAGGCGCTTTAACCACCTAGCCACCGCAACAAACAATCAATCAGCCTATCAGCAATACCACATAGTACATTATTCATCTGACATAAGGTTATTTGATGACAGACCATGTAATTGAGGTTGCTGTTAGTGAGTAAAGGCGTCACCTTCATAAGGTGTTGGCAGGCAAGGCATGATTTCCATTTTTCCAACGACTCTGCTACGGTTTTTGTCTATTTTTTTTTATTATTATTCATTGAAAATAAAAGGGTAAGGACAGTAAACGTATATCCTATGTTTATTAATCGAACTTGTAGAAATGTCTTATTAAAATACAATGTCTCACTAAATATATTAAAGTTGCCACATGAATGTACAATACGGATTACCGATGTAGGCTATGCCTCTACTTCCATGAATTGTTAACCCTTACACTGATTCACAGGGTTAATAACTGTATCAATGTGACGCGTGAACAGCCTGTTAGCCTCTCGGATACCTGAATTCAGTGACCCATGCGTCGTCGAAAGGAAGTCAACATCCGTAGCCTCAACGGCAAATTACAGGATAGGCTTGTTGTCCTTGGCAACAAGGGGCGTGGCTAGAGTACGAAGATACTCTACTGTCGATCCTACCCGGATGTAGGAGTACGACCCCCTGAACTGTCGGTTTGAGACCCACGAGGTTTTTAGGATTGGATCGGGTTCCGAGATAGTTTGGTCGTTGAGAAATTGTCTCAACACCGTGGTAAGCACATTCGCTATGACGTCATTATGAATTGTTTCTATCTGTTTGCCTTCCTCTCCGCATAGCCAAACGTCTAGTGTATTGGGGTTGGCTGCCAGGGAGTTGAATGTGTACACACATTTAGCACAACTGCGTAAATTCGTGTTTTATTCAATAGTGTTGTTTCTCCAGACAAGTTTCAGTTCGGCCCAAAAAATTAACCTAGAACACTTCCATCGACCAGGAAACTGAAATGGTTAGAGCGCTAGGTATAATAAACTTAAATACGAGGTTCGAATTTCGGTCAAGCTTTGCTGAATTATTCCACACAAGTCATTGTTGATGATAATATCTTATTCATTTCATCTTCATTAGTTTTCATAAAAGTCCTGCAAGGTTTGGTTTTCTTTTCAGAAATTATTTATCAAAGCTATAGTCACATAGGAAAACAGTTTCCTATACTATGCTATGGCTTCTGTCAGTGGTACAGGGATCGTTCAGTATTATCTGTTTTGAGCTAAAGTTGTAACTCTGTAACGTTACAAAGGGTATTATTGACGCTTGCCACCCTTTTAATTTGTAACACTCTTTCTGATTGGATATCCTGCCGGGGGCTTTATTTCTATAGACCCCCGCTCTGCCGAGGTCTATAAAAGCACGCGCGAGGGGAGATAACTCAAACAAGAATCTCTCTTCGTTACAAGAAATATGCCGTCCGACACACACAAGCGTTCGAGGTTTGCCAGTAAATTAACAGAATGAAATCTCCTACAAGCAACCTAAAACGACAGCAAATTCAACGAAACAGGCTTGCCGAAAACGTGTCCGGTAGGGGCTTTTTTGGCAGCTGTCAAGTACAACTCAAACTCACAAAGTGTCTTATTAGTTCGCAGAAAAAAAGTAATAAAAGATTTTTAGGGTGACCCATTCTCTGGGTTAGGGGGCGGGGGATAAGTTCGAAATGGGCGCAATGGTAATACCAGTATGGTGCTGTAAAAGGTGTACGTTTTCGGCTTTCTGCAAATACGTATAATATTTAAAACGACAGATTCCTTCTTCTTTAATATCACTGATGAGCTGTATGATGCAGCGAATTCATTTTTGGCATACGATATCTGTATTCGTTTAAGACGCTTTCATAACCTCAAGACAAGATTACTATCGGGTGCGTTCCAAGTTGCGATATTGTAAACCTAAAATTGTGTTAATATTCATCAGAGTATTGTTCACAGTATGGTGTTTTGTAGACAGCGAAATCGCAATCTTAGGATAAGATAATCGTGATTACGCTGTAACTCAATAAAAATAATCATGCATTTTGTAGAAATGTTGACGATCGAGTACACAGGTGAGCACAGGTGAGAGCTACCTTACGTTAAGGGGAACTCTCGTGATGGGTTTACTTCTACCCTGGGTAGACAAAACAATCACAAACCGAGGTAAATCAAAATAGTGACATTTTAACATTTTCTTTATAGCCCAAATGAAACATTTATCGCGTGATACCTGCTATATAATGTCATATTACTTCTTCACAGTATGTCATACTGTGAAATCAGATATTTTCGTGGGGCGAAAAATTCAATTCGTGGTTTCCAGCAAAACACTATTTGGTTGAAACATGGATTCGTATATCACGAGTACCCACTCATACGGTGAATTGCTTTATGACACATTTGTAATTACTTCGTGGACCTATGAATTCGTAGAAGTAGATTACCCACGAAATCAACCAAATTAAATACCCAACGAAAATTAGTGACTTCACAGTATACCACTAACAGCTTACTCTTGATGACTAACTTGTCCTGTATTAATCCGTTGTCAATGAGACCGAAAACAGACGACAATTCATTAACTGAAACGTTGCTAAGGATGAAGAAAATAAAAAAACAAAAACACTCGACATCCTTTTTTAACACAAATTATAAAAATATTTCCCTAAAGCTCAGTGTTTTGTTGTGATAAAGAGTAAACCAAATGCTACTGGCAGCTAACGTACTCGTCCTCTGTCGGATCGCAGTCGATGAGATCGAAAGCCTCCGCCAATTCGTTTACTGGGCCTTTACAATGGATCCAAGTTGCCCCCAACTCTACCGTCGCTTGGTCTTCTGCTTCGCCATCGTCACCAAACGGTACAGAGTGAATTCTGCCGCTAATTCTATAATATACATAGAAGCGTAATGCAAGGTAGTCCCTTTATGCTAAATAAAAGTATACTAGCTACAAAAAAGAAACTCTCATAGTAAAGAAACAGTTAAATACCACAATCTGGATTGCCAAAGTTTACCCTTTTGCGTAGAGGCATGGGTTATAATACACAAATTTTACAGATTTTAAAAAAATGAAAGTATCCTCTTTTTATTGTACTTATAATCAAGAGAATTTACGCACATGCTCTTCTATTTCAACAGTAGCTCAGACTATATGGATTTTCAATTTCGTGTATCTGAGCACCTTCGATGAGTCCTAAAGGGACGAAACAGCTGAATAATGCAGTGTAATACCTTTTGGTTTACTGTATATATTATCAAGAATTATGGTGAATTCACCTGTGTGTGTTACGTTCACAATTTGGCAGAACTGTAAAAGGCACATTTTATCTTAGACCAATTTATTCAAAATAGTAAAACAAATACCCATTTCATCACAAGAGTACAACAAAAACAAAGTGTATCCCGAACCAGTTCAAAATGTCAGTATCCGGCATGTCCACCGTAACACATGTAGCAGTAATACACGGACTTCACCCATGAAACATGCATCCAACAATATTGTTGATAGTTCCCCAGGAATGCCGTGTTAGATGCACCTTCGATGACCGTGTCAGGTGTTCTCCTTACCAAGGTTGGGTGTGTGTTATGGTTCTTGTGTATTTCCGTAAATTGTGCTATATTATTGATATTGACTTATTCAAAAATTGACAGATTTCATCAATGAAAGTTTCTCAGTGTGATTTGATGATATACAGTTTGAGAATCGGACTTTGTCATTTCTCAATGCTCAATATGTGTGGAGCGAGATCCAGTATGGGGAATTCCGATATTGGACAATGTAAAGGTAAATACACCTTGTTTATTACCTGTGTCACACTAGGGATTATACTGTCGATGAATGAATGGTCAATCAGGCATGACGGAGATGTAAGTGGAACATGCACGCTTGGTTGGGCGATACTATTGGAATTTGTTAACATGCAAAGTACAGTTACAAATTTTATGACTTGGAACAAACTAATTGCTTCCTACTATGGGGGTATTGAAGATTTGAAAACTACATTATTCAATTTACCCGCTGGATTCCCGCTCTGTTCTTGGAACATACGTTGTATATACAATGATTTGAGGAAATATCCATACACTTACTATTGCAACCACTACTGTGTGTCTAAGAAACATGGCTATCTTCTACTATCTCCAGTGGAGATATTGATATTACAGGTCACCGACCAAAACGTGCAGACCGTCCAAATGACTATAGAAACGGTGGTGTAGCAACTAAAATAAAGTCGACGAAATGACTTAGAACAACATGTCATTGAGGTGCTCGGTATAAAGGTCAATTTTAAAAACTCCAAACCATTGAAAATGTTTACAGACCCCAAAGTTGCGATATGAAACTATGGTTGAACAATTATGAAACCTTTATTGGAAACTGTGTGAATGGAAATCAGGAGCTGATAATAATGAAACTTTTTAAATGTAAACATTTTAAATGAAGGGTCAATATCTGTCTCCGTCAAATTATTTTGGTTTAAATTATTATTTAGGGCTTTTACGCACCTTCCTCTCTGTTTCAACAGTACATTTCTGGCCCCTGGCGTCACCAATTCAGTGTTACTGTATTACTAAATGTATTAGCACAGAGAACTAGAGACGTCACCGACAGGAGGGAAAATCGACGTTTTCTCGTGCTGTCAACAATAGCCTAACGTAATATAACAGGCTTCTTGGCACTTTGGTTCTGACTTACAATCTTGTACAGCTTCTCAGCTTTTAGAATAGTGCTTGACTTTTACTGACGCTATGATGGCGGCAAATAATTAAGGAAAGGTTTTCTATTTTGGTCCGGTTATGGATAGAATTGCATAGATGGCGAATTACATTGCTTTTCTGTTAATGTTTTATAAATATTTACTTATAAGTCGGATAAGAGGACAAAATATTTACTTTAAAAACTTGATAACGTGTGATTGGTTCATTTTAATGTTGATTTAATGGCACGATATATGATAAGGCTATAAGATGATAGCTCTAATGTGCTGTAACAATGGTAACTGGGTGAATTTCAGTGTACACAGTGAAAAAAAAGAAATGGTTACTAGCGATCGTAGTAGTTCAAAATTGTAAACTATCAAGGTAGAAAATTATGAGAAGTTTTTTTACAAAACCAATACGATTTTTCTATGTGACGTTTCGATGACTAATACGAAAAGTACGCTGTCACCTTCATAAGACAAATGACCAGTGGAGCGTATGCACACAAAGGTGTAACATGTGAACGAGGTGTCCACCAAATCAAGTCAATTCGGCTACGCTGTAAGCATTTTTCACATTTTGCACCTTTGTATGCATACGCTTCATTGGTCTTTTGTCTGACAGCGTACATATCGTACTAGTCATCGAAACGTCACATAGAAAATCTTTTGATTGTGTGAAAAGAAATGATCATAATCCATATTAACCAACCCGAAGAAATTGTTTAGATGTATTTATATGTTGGTATGTTTTTATAAACATAAAAAACCACAGCAGTATACAATTTTCTCATTATAACTATACCATGGCATATATTCAACATATTTAACATCTGTTTTAGTTTTACACTAATCCGTTTATTAGGAACATTTTCAAATCATGGTTCAGAAAATGGTCACACGATGCTCCAAATGAAAAACAATGTATAAATCATAATGTAAGAATATATATATACACGATTAATTTGCTACTGAGAGCATGGAATCAAAATACATCGAATATGGCCAAGCTGCTTTCAGATGGATAACATAGATTCACATTAATCGTGTTACCATACGCCCATCATTATGACTAATGATTATAGGATTGTCACTTGGAGAATTAATTAAAAATAAAACCAAACATCGGTCGGTCATCTGTCAAATAATAGATATAATTTCAATTATGGCATTTATAACGAGTAAAATAAAATATAAATGGAAATATATGTGTTCGATAGGCATGTCGCAGTAAATATTATATTTCAGTTTTGATTTAGAATTCGAAGTACAAAACAGGTTTAAAAAATAGAGAGAACCCAATACGCATCTACATAGTACGAAGCAGGACATGTAATATAGGAATGTCAATTGCAGAATTAAAATAAATCTAAAATCAGTCTGTCATATGTTCAATAATAGATACAATTTTAATAACTGCATTTACAATGAGTATAATTCATAATTAAATAGAAATAATCTTATTAGAATAAATGAATATTACAGCTAAATTGCTGCCAATGTATAATATTGATATACAACATCGTCAATAATTAATTTAATGCCAGCATTCATATTTCATAAAACATGGCGCAGCATTCATTGTATTTCAGTGTTAAATGGCAATCTGTATCAAAATTTCGAAAGAAATCGATATGTATCTACATATTATGACGCGGAACATATGGTTCAAAACTTCTGGTCCATAATTAACATATCACATTCGGTGCAACAGGTTGTTTAAATAATTTCATTTCAATACACAGTTACACTAATTTTTTTCTTTTTAAAGAACCATGATAGCATGGTGGTAAGCATGATACATAACTTTGTTAGCAATCGTGTGCCAAAAAGTCTTTAGATAACGTATCTTATCATGATTAAGTGGTAAATACCAGAACCCTGTTCACTAAACCGTTCTCATGTTTAAGCATGAAATTCATAGCTAACAACCAAGTTTCTTTTTACTTGCTAATTCCATGTAACCAAATGCTAGTTGTAACTATTTTAAACTGAATTCGATTTCAAGTTTTTGCAACGTTCTTCCATAGTTTGAGTATAGGAATTGTTTGGCCTCCCTTGTTTCCCTTTCCCATCAGCTGTCTAGTAGATTGCCTCTCTAATTTTTATTTTCTGGGTTCTTTTTGGTTATAACCTCCCCTCATCCCCCTCACCATCTCCTATTGTCTACTAGAAATTTCCTTTTTGTTGTGCTCCTGTCTAGAGAGTGTTCTCAGATTGTCCTTAGATACCACAATTGGCCATCAGATCTTATAAATGGTCCCCAAACACCTTTTTACAAACACTCTATTTTGTCTTTATATCCATGAACTATGGAGGTAGGCATGCTCAGCCATAGGCATAAGTTAATCGAATCGGGATGAAATCAATACGTACAAAAATGTATGTGCACTCCAAACATGGTTACACCAAACCATTTCAGAGGAGTTACTGCATTTAATCCAACCATGACGGACAGACGGGCCACATACAATAATATTCCCTGTTTCACAGAAAGCAGAGAATGGACAAAAAAAATATAACTATTGCAATTTTGTATAGATCAAACCTCGCTTGATATTGATATGATTTATTTACATATTTATAAAAATGACACAAACAAAACAACAGTGATCTGAATGTAAACAGGGTTGGACCAGGATTCGATCCTTTGACCACAAACATCTATACTGTCGCTCCGACCAACTCAGCTACCTGGTCAACCGATGTGCATTACGCCAAAAAGTAAGGGGAGGTTTTAACGAAAAAATAGCAGTGGAATTACTTTGTGGTGGTTTTTTTTTGCAGTGGGACAGGGATCCATAACATAATATAACAAGAATATTTCATGCCAATAGGTTTAGGATAGGGACATTCTACCGAGGGGTTTTAAAAGCCTCGGGTTTTGCCAAATTTGAAAAATCCTGATGATGGAATTTCCCTATCCTACACCTTTGGATATGAAAGAGAATTTTTCTCTTATTATAACTACCAGAACTACCATATGCATATATGTAGCGTACATGATGTAAACATGCTTAGCCAACAATCGTTTCAAAGTTATGGCGCAACTAGAGATCCCAGAGGGATATTGGCGCCCACCAGCGTTCCATGTTTATAAGTTTTATGTCAGGCCAATATTTTCTCTTCTTTTCTTTTATCTGTTTGATAAAGTCATGTTAACAGTAAATGCACATTGAGATAACTTTTGATCTTAACTTCATAGTGCTGTGTATAAACGACATTCAGATATCAGACAACTGTGCGTATGTTAAGCATTCAGGTTTTACAAAGTGTATCCAAAACGAGGCTCCAATAAGTCCTCCGGAGCTGCTCTCTATGATTTCTATAGCCACCATTTATGCATCAATGTATATTTCAGAAACCAAATCAGCGATGCGTGCCCGGTTTATAATATGTAGATATAAAAATCTCCATCCGCTACGAACACCATCAGTGATACACCTGAACACAGAACTGGACGAGCCTACCTGTCAGCTTGCCGCATCATACCTGACCTTCAAGTGTCTCATCACTGTATCAGTGTACCTGTCGTTATTGAGCTGTTAGGTAGGTAGTTCTTATCTTTTATTAATCGTTAGTAGAAGTGTTTAAACATGTGCAGTGTCTTGCCATATTTTAGGTCACAAACTATTTTTCCATTGTATTTTTCATCCATATTTTAATTTGTCGGTTATTTTAATGTCAATTGTAACACTATAGGATAACAGTAGCATAGATTATTGCCTGATGTTTTTCTCTCATGATATTTAAGTTAAAAGGTTATCGGGGTAGTGAAATACCTGACACCCAGGTCTAGTAACTTAATCCTGAAGATGAACTTTCAATATAAAATGTCGGTGGGACAAAAATAGGAATTGGAGCACTAACGGAAAAAAATGCTACTTGAATTAGCCGTTAAATCATAAAAATGCTCAACGGAAATAATAAACAAAAAAATCGTTTTGGAAATAGCATTACCATTAAAATTATGACAATTCAATGAAACAAATGTAGAAAAGAGTGCTATATCGATTGAAAATGATACCACTGTGATGTTTAATTTGTCTCCACAACAGATGTAAAGGATATACATGTACCATTTGCAAACAAAATTTGCAATCGCTTTCATATTGCAAGTTCAAAGGCTGTCTGGAAAATTAATTGAAAGCTTGATAGTAATAATAATGACAGACTGTTGCAATCATGATGACGAAATATCTATCCAAGTACATACGAGTATTTGTTAACGTTCTAAACATCATAAACATATTCATAAAGGATACCCTCGGATTGAAGCTTATGGCCAAAACAAAGAACGTTACGGGCTCCATTCCCTAGGCGAGATACATCAAAGACCATAAAATTAGTACTGAGTGTTTTCCTTTTGGCGTTTTTAGATTTAAATGAGTATCGATCAGGACTGGTTTGCCAAATTTGAATAAATTATCTTCTACACTTTCTATGTTAATTAACGTAGCATTTCTGCAGTGAGCTCCCACATTAGTAATCTCTTGATGCTTTGGAATACGGCCCTCAGAACCAAATGTGAATATCTTCTTCTATGTATATTATTGACGGTATCACATAATCATGCTTAAGTGAATGCGATAAACATGTTTCAGTAGCAACGTTTTTGTCAATGAGAATACACATCACAAAAGCAATATCTTTGTACCAACGATTGCTAGAAGGACGAAACAGCTGTACGGTGCAGCGAATTCGTATTTGGCGAACTGTATTTATTACCAAAATTGTATACGTGCAATCACAAGTGTTGGTCTTAAATTCATCCTTCAAGACATATGCTGGTAAACCCTGCGAATGTTTTTTTTAGTCTCCGACGTGTATCGCAACCTTGACGGCAACAACAATCTCTTTGGTAGTGGCACGATTCATTTTATACAATTTTGACTCATTTTAATTCTAAATTAATTCTTATTCCACTTATATTTTTAAATGTTTGATTTTAATATGCATCTTCCCTTCTACATTAATGATAAATTGAACCATTTTAAATTTCAACTGTTTTGGCTGCTAGCATCACCGATGAGTCTTTAAAAGACAAAACAGCTGTATGATGTAATGTAATTCATTATCGTATGCTGTATATATATTACCACATTATATTGACGCAATCACCTATACGTGTCTACTTTCAAGTTATATAGAAGCAACATGAGTAGATAAATAGAGGATATCTAATGGTGTCATCGGTAATAACAAATATATTTCACGAGTGTGGCTAAAATTTTGATATTAGCGACACGAGCGAAACATATTTGTTATAACTGAAGACACCATTCTATTTATTACATTTCTAAAGCATAAAATATGAAAAATTGAATGCATTAAAAAAGGGCGGGAATCAGAAGCGTAAAATTTAGCGCTTTATTCTAATGACGTCACGCTTGACAACAAGGCTGCGCACCAGTTTGAATCGGATACTCGACGCAATTCCAACGGTTTTTGCTATTTTCTGGAATGATTGCTTATATTATTGTTATTAATCGTATATTTATGTAAATACTTAAGTGTGTGTAACAAACATTTACCATAACAACCACTTATTCAACCGTCGCTTCATTTTAATCTGAACAAAGAAAACGTTGCCTTTGAATGCAGCGAATAGACGGTACCGTTATGATTAGTTTTGATATTTGTCACAGTGTGAAAAATATCAGTTTTATCAAGTTGATAAATCCGATATTTCAATGGCAGAAATGTAATAACACATTCTTTTTAATTGCAGCCTTCCCTGTTTGACACAATGGCTTGTAAGGACCCATCCGTGTTGGTTATAGGAGCTGGTCTGGCCGGTCTCGCAGCTGGGTGTCACCTCATTAAAGGCGGCCTTACCCGTGTAACTGTATTAGAGGCAGGCGACAGGTAAACTTGTTATACAAAGGACTAGGTAGAAATAGGCAATTAAGGTCAGAGTTTAAGCCAACAACAGGTTACAGTCACCAAAAGTGAAGGACGGTCTTTTATTATTGATTTGGGTTTTTATAGATTGAGTGTAATTTCATAATTTGTCTATCTATTTTCTGGCTTTATTGAGATGTTCTTTTGGGTTAACATTCACAAATCTTGTTATAGAAATCATGGAAAATAGTTGTGTGAGTCATACATATCACTTAATCTCCGAGTGACATGTTTAAGATCATTCGCAAATAGGATTAATGTCTAGCCAACATTTATTCCATTATATATTTACATATGTTCTGCATCACCCAAATGCAATGCAAGTGTAAAACCCCAAATTTCCAGGTGACCACTATTTTAACACTATTAATCTTATTGTTACAACATTAAGCTGTTGTTTCGTTCCGAGAACTTCTCGTATGTATGGTTTGGGCCTGTTTTGGCCCCCAAATGCATCAAAATTCAAACCCTTTAAATGAACTTTGAAATGACTGTTTCTTTAATTTCGAATACTTCTCAAATACTATTATGAAAAAAATTATTTATATTTCTGATTATTGTTACCATGGTTACAAGTTCAAATTTGCATAAATTAGAAAAACTTGAATATTCAGTGAATATTGGGATATTTTGCATAGGTTTTCTCCTAGAATCTATAGAGCGCATGCTTGAACAAACTTCATATCAAAGGATAATGTGTAGGCACCTGTAATACATCTTTAGGAGAAATATAAAGTTTGTTCAAGAGTGCGCTCTATGGTATCTAAGAGAAAACTAGGTGAAAACCTGTTAAAATTGACTGAATAATCAAATTTCAATAATTTATGCAAATATGACCTGGTCACCATGGCAGCCAAAATTGAAAACACAAATAAATGTTTCCATAATAGTACTGAGAAAGTATTCAAAATTAAATAAACAGTCGTTTGAAAGTTATATTGCAGATTTTTAATTTTGATGGATTTGGGGGTCAAAAAAGGCCCCAACCATACATAGTCATTTACGCTGGGCCTGAAATGACTTAGTACAACATAAGTGCTCTATCAAAGGATCATACAATTTACCATAGAGTGTTGACAGATGTAATATAATGGCCCGGGGAGGCATAACAGCGAAAGTCAGAACGCCTCTGGTGGTCGTTGATGGATATTTGACGGATTCACTCTACCCCGATGAGATCCTGCAAACCCAAGTCATCCCCTTCGTTCAACAACATCTCATTACGTTGCAACATGAAAACGCTAGACCACATGTTGCACGTTTTGTGATTGGTTTTATTACTCAGCAAAATGTGGATGTATTGCCATGTTCTGTACTATCATCTGAACTTTTGTCCATCGAGGACGTATGGAACGAGATGCAACATCGGTTACGTTAGCTACCAAATCAGCCTGTGGCGTTGGCTGAGCTATTTGTGCATTAATTTGTTAGTTAACGATTTTTCAACAATCTTGTTGGATGCATGTGGCATAGTACATGCATGCATTTCTGTTAAATGTGTAACGTTAACGTGGACATGCCCGATATTGACATTGTGAATTTGTTCGGGATAAACTTTGGTTTTGTTGTGACCCTGTGATGAAATGGGTGTCCTTTTGACTATTTGGAATGCATTGATCTTAGATAAATGTGTCTTTTACAGTTCCGAAACAAATGTTATTGAAATTTAGGAAACATGAACGTAACACACAGGTGACTGCACCTTACAAATTAGCGATAGATACAGCAAACCAAAAGGAATTACACTGCATATTATAGCTGTTTTGACCATATAGGACTCATCGGAGGTGCTTGGGACCACAAAATTGAGGAAACAGAGAAGCAGGTGCTTAAATTCTCTTGATTATAGATACAATCAATAGAGGATACCTTTGTGTATTACAGACCATGCCACTACTCAAAAGATATAACTGTGGCAATCCAGATTGTGTTATTTACCTTTTTGTTAAATATGACAGTTGTATACTTGTATGTAGCAAAAAAGAACTGACTTGCATTACGCTTCTATGTATATTTAAGGATTGGCGGTAGAATTCACTCTGTACCGTTTGGTGACGATGGCGAAACAGAAGACCCGGCGACGGTAGAGTTGGGGGCAACCTGGATCCATGGCAAAGGCCCAGTAAACGAATTGGCGAAGACTTTTGATCTCATCGACTGCGATCTGACAGAGGACGAGTAAGTTTTTCTTCATCCTTGGTAACGTTTCAGTTAATGAATTGTCGTCGGTTTTCGGTCTCATCGACAACGGACTAATACAGGACAAGTTAGTCATCAAAAATAAGCTGTAAGTGGTATACTGTGAAATCACTAATTCTCGTTGAGTGTTTAATCGTGTTGATTTCGTGGGTAATCTACTTCTACGAGTTCATAGGTCCACGAAGTAATTACAAATATGTCATAAAGCAATTCTCCGTATGAGTGGGTACACGGACTATACGAATTCATGTATCAACCAAATAGTGTGCGGTAAACCACGAATTGAATTGTTCACCCAAAGAAAATATCAGATCTCATAGTATGACATACTGTTAGGATGTAATATGACATTATATAGCAGTTATCACGAAAGAAATGTTTCACTCTTTTGATTTCCATCGGTCTGTAATTGATTTGTCTACCCAGGGGTTTGTTAAGCATAAATCTAGGTCATTTTGAAATTATTTCATCTTTACATATACTTTTTTTTTTCTATTCACAGGTTAATATTCCATTACAAAGATTAACATAACCTATTACCGTTATTTCTTATCTGCTCCGTACAACCCAAAATATTGTTGATGAGAAATAAGTTCTGCAGATTGCTCGCTCCAGGATATTGCTTGCGGCTTTTCCTCTGCATAATAGCTACTTATTCGCAATGAAAAAGAAGTAAAGCTATCACAAGAGTTCCCTTCGCTACCAACTTCGTGTAACTTTTGAAATAAAGTTAATTCGGGAATTCCACTAGTTTGGAATCGGTTAAACTGAAAGCCCTTCATCACTTCTCCGAATTAGAATTGTGAATAATTGCGCTTTTTCAGGTTTGGGGAAAGAATTGACATTCTCTTTCCTACTGGATGTCTTATTCAATTCATGTCGGGCCTAGATTCCTATGTGTCTTCTACTAAGAGGACATTGACGAGATTTAAGGCTGAGCTGCTGCCTCTAGTGCAAAGCTTTGGGTCTGTATTTTCTTTTCTCTCTTACTGCTTTTTCCTCCGGCGGGGTCTCATTTGGCACCTGTCTTGCTTTGACCGTGGCTGTAAGGACATGAAACTAGAAGTAAGATTATTTACGATATTTCAGTGATTGCAATGAAATAAGATCATACTTTAATATTCTAGAAATATGAATGAAGTTTAAAGGGAACCTTTGTTTTCTAAGTAATTCTCATTTCAGATATTATGGGATGTATGTGGGCTCGAATGGAACAAAGTGTAATGAGGAACTTGTAAGAAAAGCAAGAGAGGAATTCAGAAAAATAATAGAAGAGCTCTATGGAAATAAATTGTCGGCATCATCTAAGACACTTTACCCCACCATTCTTGAGTACATACAGTACCGCTTGGATCAGGTGGTGGAAACTCTCCCCGATAATGATCGAAATGAGTTCAAGGATATCTGTAGAACTCTTACAAAGGTGGAGGAGGAAAATCACGGTGCTGCACTAGAAGATGTATCAGTGTTTATACCCGATAGCATTACCCCTGGCAACAACATCAGTTTGACAGGCGGTTATTCCGCGTTGATATCAAGGCTGGCACATACAGTAACCGACAAAAGAATCCATCTGAAAACGGAAGTGATAAACATCGACTATACTAATCCTGAAGAGGTAAATGTTCTGTGTGAGTCAGAAAATGGTGCAATAATGTACACCGCAGATCACGTGATCGTTACAATTTCTCTGGGCGTCCTTAAAAATGATCACCAGATACTTTTTAATCCTGGCCTCCCATTTGAAAAGATTGCGTCAATATCAAAGCTGGGATATGGGACAGCCAGTAAGATCATTCTTCGCTACAAGACACCTTTCTGGAGCCAACATGAAGGAATGAAACTGGTGTGGAGAAACGACACTACTGAATCAAACACGAATTTACCAAGCTGGGCTAAATGTTTGTACACATTCAACGCCATGGCAGCCAACCCCTATACACTCGACGTGTGGCTGTGTGGGGAGGAAGGCAAAGAGATAGAAACGATCCCTAATGACGTAATAGCGCTCGTGCTTACCACGGTGTTGAGACAATTTCTCAACGACCCAACTATCCCAGAACCCGATTCAATCCTAAAAACCTCGTGGTTTTCAAACCGACAGTTCAGGGGGTCGTACTCCTACATCCGCGTAGGATCGACAGTGGAGGATGTCCGTATTCTGGCCATGCCCCTTGTTGCCAAGGACAACAAGCCTGTCCTGTTATTTGCCGGCGAGGCTACAGATATTGACTACCTTGCTTCGACGCATGGGTCACTGAATTCAGGTATCCGAGAGGCTAACAGGCTGCTCATGCGACAAATGAATACATTTATCTCCCATGTGAAACCTTGTTAGATTTACCAATGATTGGCAATAGCATACATCGGTGATCCGTGTTGTACATTAATTTGGCACCTATAATATATTAGATGAAACATGGTATTTTATATACCGCTTTATTTTAATCTAGTTCGTAGGTCGTTTCAGAGCGGTTCACAATTGTTTATCCGTAGTTATAGGGCCTTTGCAATCAGCCAATATCTTTATCAATTCCCCTGGCAGCATACAGCCGGTGCTGCAATTTCGGCACTCACGGCAAGCATTCAACAATTGTAGCACTCCGCAACCTCGCGGAGAAAAGTACCGTGTTCAAAAATATAAAAACAATGCCGCGAAATGACTCGAACCTGCAATCCTTCGTGTGTGAGCCCAGCTTCCTACCACTAGTATCGTGCCTCATAATACTATCTGTTCGATGAATACACGCAAGAAATACGCTTGCCGTCCTTACCTTGCATTAAATTATTTTTATTGTCAATTCTCAAGAAAAGAGACAACAACCATTGTAAACTCGCTGGAAATATGGAAATTGTTTTTTTCTCAGATTGAGAATTTATTCCATAATTTACGCCGAAAAAAACACAAAAATGAACTTACGAACTAGAAACGCAAAAATGTTTTTTAAGAATTAAGGTTTTCTTAAGCTAAACAAAGTTAAGACTTTATTCTATTTTCTTCCATTTAATACTCATCATTAGTGTTTACGGTCAACAAAAGGAAAATCCCAGTTCAAAGTATTTTGAAACATAAGTAAAGTTCCATAAAATGGAAGAGTTCTTATTAAACACATTGGTAGGACAAAATAAATTTTCACCTGCTTTATGTATCATAACAAATGATGAACAGAATGAACAACTGACAAATAAGGTTTGGGTCCAGTTAACTAATGTCAGATACAAAATGTACAATGAGCCTTTGTCAGGGGTTACATTACTCCAGGTAAATCGTATTCAAGTTTCACACTGATATTGTATAATAGCAATTCCGCACTAGTCAGCTCAAACATGCCTTGCTTGACACCACAATTAACCTTACGAAGGTAACGCTATTACTCACTAACAGCAACCTCAATGACCAATGTAGTTAGATAAAGTATCCTAACAAGCGATCAACGAAATGAACTGCTGATAAAAAATGGTTTGTCATCAAATAATAAGGTAATGTCACAATAATAATGTACTATGAGCGAATTTTGCTGATATGTTTATTGGTTGTAGTGAGTTTAACGTCCCATCAACAGCTTAAGTCACTAACGGACGTGAGTTCATGGGTGTAATGTATGAGTGTATGCATACTGTAATAGGTCGCATTGCCTTTCTCATCTTGACAACACAATTAGCATTATAAAGGTGACGTCATTACTCATTAATATTGATCGGAATTATAAAATTCACTTCATCACGAGCATTTTAATTCAAACAGAGCAATATATGGGGCCTCACACAGACACAGAGTGGCTGACGTTTTTCGATTTTTACATCAATTTCGAGATTAGGATTATTGTGATACTACACCAATACAGATCTGCTTCATTTTGACCAATTGAAGTTGGAAATATAGGATTTGAAGTTGGATATATCCGAATTCATGCAGTAAGTACGGATAATGGCTACTGACTCTACTGACCACAGCGGCTCGAAAATCCTGAAGGTATTCATTGTTTATAACAGTACAATTAAAATGTTCCAGATACTAACATTGATAAAAATTGTCTTTAAATGCATTATATATGATGAACAATCACGTTAGAATTGAGGTCAAACCGGACGAGTTAGTTTTTAAATAAAAAAAAATCTTTTTTTTGTGGAATTAGACCTATGATCATTTATATAAGTACAGATAAAATACTTACATAGTGTATTTAAATCGGTTCAGTAAATTTTCAATTCTAACATGACATGAATAGTAACAAACGAAACTTGTTTCATAATTGTTTAAAATAAAAAATAAACATCTATTAGAGCCATCTTTCACGGTTTGAGAAGACATCCGTGTACCTTTCAGTTACGTTAAAACTGTATCAGGGGTGTGAACACGCTTAGGGTATTTACCGATACGGGAAGAAATTGCCTTCATAGGGATATAAAGGGATTGATCAGCGTTATTTTGAAGATTCTCCTCTTGCTTCCAATAACGCATGACAACTGTCGGAAGCAAACATGTTGGTGATGTTAGGCTGTTCCGGGAATCTTGCATTGGCGACACAAATATTTCAATCTTAGAAATAGAAGGGAATACCTAAATGTATACCTGTTGTAGAGAGATGAAAACAAAACAAAAAGGAAAAAAGTTATAAGGATTGAACGATATCTTTTTATGTTCATGCCAGTATGGACACAAATCGGTAACATACATAGTAACCATGGAGCACGGAAAATGCCGTTAAATCCTTATGTGAAAGCTGTCATCACAGCGCCAGTTATATTTTATATGAATATCAGAACGTGTCTAATACGTTTGTTAAAATAAGCCAAACATGTTAGAGCAATTATAATATTGTAAAACACCTAAATTAACTTAATTCCAAAACAAGAGGATTACTGGTTAATTTCAAATTAATGGTACAGTGAATATATTGCGAACCGTGCCACTACCCAAAATAATTACTATTCAGGTTCGGCAATCCTCGGGAACCAAGAACGCAACTAGCAGAATTCATCAATTTGTATCTTTAAAGGTGAAAGTATGACACACACAGAATTATGATTGCACCAATAACATTTAGTAAGAGATAAAATATGCTAACAAATAATTACACAACACCATCTTACATCATTCTTTATTGAACTTTTTTTTTTTACTAAGCACCGTTTATTACACGTTGTAAATATCAATAATTATTTATATTAATAACCGTTGATATTAATAAACAATATTAGTAAAGTTTATATCCACCATGATGTAAAGGCAGAAAATTGAGCTGACTCATATTTCCCTGATCAGAAATATGATATATTTGACTGCCATCACACAACAACTGTTTCTGACATACGAGTTTACCCAATTATTTCCCCGCTCTCAAGTGCCCTGTAAAATAAGAGATATTGAATTATCATTGCTCTCATATCTGCATCGTCGTATTCCAGCGGCTTCCCCTGGATACAGATATCTTCTCTGCAGCCTTGGACAAAATTTACGGCTCGTAATTCCGTCTTTGCGTATTGCAGAGTTATCTTCTCTTGTGAGCAGGTATTGATTGTTACGTCATTGGTTTGTGGGAGAAAATTACGTCGTTTTCTCAAAAATTGATGACGTTACTCTCACAAACAAATGACGTAACAATCAATCCCTGCTCACAAGGCAGATAACTCTGCAATACGTAAAGTCGGAATAAAATCTTTGATCGGTTCCTGTTGTAAAACCTTACCAATCAGTGATCCATATCCTTTAAATATTATAGAGGAACTGCAAGCAAGTTGTTAACCTGTCAATATTACCGGTACGCTGCCGCGAGATTAATTTCATTTTTCACGATCGCATAGGAAATCAAAAGAAACTATTTACCATCCATAAGCTTTTTAACTTCGTCATGACATTTTCCAAAGCTTTGCAGAAGATATATATGTCAAGAGAACCTTTGGATTTAGAAAATATAAAAGCGAATTATTTTTAATCAGTGGACTCGTGAATATGCTTTCACAGACACGTTGAAACTGTTTTGAGTTATTTGATAGTATTTGCATATTTTTTTTTACAGATTAGCTCATTGATAAATTGGCACTCCCAAAATCCTTGCAAAACAAAAGGCAGATATTCCATCTTGGATAACTGCTAAAATATATAGTGAACTTAACTTGCATCATACACTAGTACTCTCGGTACAGTGGTCGATATCATAGCGTATAGGTAAAGAGAAGCATTATGTTAAAATATGTTATTACTATTTACACTCTTGCGATGCATATTATAGGACCTGTATTCATGAAACCGTTCTCATTTCAATCTCAGATCCTGTGCTCAAGCGTATTTTGTTGTTTTGTTAACAAACCAACATAAATCGTATTTGTCAATGATTTGGCGGACTTGAGAAGAGACTTAAGGCCAAATACTTTATCTAATGTTTACACTTAGTTGCAATGTTTCTCATTGATAAGCAAGTCAGATGAATGTTAGTTACAGCACTGAATCCATGCTTGAGCATGATAATGGTTTCATGATATCGGGCCCAGAAGTCGAAATCAAGACCTATACATTATCGCTCCTATATTTTCGTTTAAAGTTTTATATTGAAATATGTATTGTTCAATGCAGTATATTTAATCAGATAAAACACCTTTATGTTGCTATGTCTCCTAAATATGATACAATATTCAAATGTAAGTTGCAAAATTAGCCTTGAAATAAAGATCTATCAATTGAACATGGATTTCACATATGTTTGTTATGGACACTATAAAGGGCTTTGAAAATCAAATTATTTCAATTTTTCATTTGTAAGTACTTAAAATGCTAAATAAAACCACTAAATATTGATGTCGTATCTAGTGTAATATGTCTATTGGTTTATTCCCCAAAGGGTTGGCGTGGTATTTAAGGAACTTCTGTCTGGCTTACAATTATTTTACGGACATAGTTTACCTTTGGACAGCCTGAATATATATAAATATATTCAATCAAGCTCATTACAAATCCGGGTATATTATACCTCTTATTTAAATCAATAAACACTGTCTTTCGCAAATAAACTCCAGCTTGCGGTCGCACGCGATGTCATTCCACTGCCCTGCTTTTAACACTGCCATACAGTCCTCTCCTACGTTACTGTCGCTAGGGTTACCGGGGGCCCAGTGGGAGATAGTAATAGGATCTTGCTCCGTTGACCAGATCCACTGGTTTTCGATAAAAAAATCGCTACCTCCTATGAAAAATTCTTTGTCATATGGTCCTACAAAACATACAAAACAATTAAACTTATTGCAGACCAATCAAAATACTAGCATATTTGGTGTTATTATTGATTTTGTTGTCATTGTTGACCTCTTTAATTTACATAATAATGGAAGCTATATTGGAGGTCAAAGGTGAGCTTTCATTTTAGCTATGGACTTATCCGAACATGTCCTCACCCGATACATGTTGCAAGGCTTTGGCCAACGCAGTTTGACGATCCTCAGTATTCGGCTCGAATAGCACAGCATTGAAGGTCCTGCAGTAGCTCTACAAAATAAGATAGTAACTCATTTTATCCTAGATGAAATTGATTCAAATAACTTTGTATAATGTATATACTAGATTAACTGGTTGAACAAATCGCTGTGCAGCGGGCCATTTAAGGGGTTTCAAATCAACGCAAGTGATTTGCAATCTTGGAATGTTCAGGATGTGCAAAATGATTGGATTCGTGTAAGTTAATCGTGTATTTCCAACCAGTCCTCCCCTAAAATAATCCCTACTCATGTAGATATATTCAAGATGGAAAGGAGAATATCACCTTGAAATTGAAATAAGTAAATGATCTGACAACATATTGTCTGGTCGTATCGAGTTTGGATATCGGCTTTTTTTCTTTGTATTTTTCTTTAAAAGGAGTATATTTATTAAATTTACTTGAGACTTAACATTACTATGTGAAGACTTAGGAATCTCAAACTAGTCGTTTCGTAACGCTGGTTTAAATAACAAAGAAATCCCTTCAATGAACAGGTTATAAATGGCCTCTTTACACAGCTTGCATCTTAATGGAAGATGTCACATGATAGTTGTTCAAAATAAATTATCCTGTAAAATAAAACGAAATCACGAAAGAGATTCGGAAAGATGTTAATTAATTATGAAAATACGTATGAGTTGACTAATTAGGAATGCTACTACATATATTTTCTCCTTTCAGTTTTGATTTATAGATTATATGACGGATGGTAAACAGACATACATGAACATGATTATTAAGACAGGGCACTTACGTTTGCCTCGGCCCAGGTACCTGCTATTTCACTAAAGAAGAAACAAAACTCCCCTTCCACTAGATATCCCGCCGGGCAGCTACCTGGAAGTTCAAGAGACATATATACGAGACAGGTAACGTAAAGACAGATACAAAATAATTCAATTAATAAAAACAAATTTCTTAAAATCAAATCGTTGTAAGGGGAGAACTACAATAAAACCAATAAATCCATCTGAAGTGTGTATCCTTATTAATTATGAGTAAATATGGACACAACGAATATCGAATTAACAATCAAACTTACTCTTTAGCCTGATTAGGAGACATTTTGCAAGGAACCCAATTGGACAGACGGTCAGACAACAGGACGAACCCCAATTTACATCTCCCATACTAACTATATATATATATTAGTATTCTAAATGGTAAATATAATTATTTGAAATGAGGAACCTTACCGTGTGAATGTTCCGCAAAGAGCAGTACAAAAAAGATTACAGTAAATGACATGCTGGATACCGTTCTGATCTTCTAATAGAACTATGCGGTTTACTTCAAACTGTAACGACGAAGTCAGGATATACTGTCTGATGACCTTGACATCATTCAAAGAAGAACTGACATTTCAACCCCGATAACGTTATCTCGTAATTCTTTGTGACCCTTAGTCATATATGCATTACTCTATCGTCAATCATATTTTCTTATTAAGCTTGAATAATTCATTCGGGATACTTTAATCTACACATGTATTGGTGTTTGGTGCGGTTGACACATTCTCCTTGCTAACCAAATGTTGTAAAGTAACGCCATTTGACTATTTCTTTCCCTTTAATTGGCAGCATAGTACATATTTTAATGCAGTTATTTTACAGAAATAGTATGACTTGACATGACATGTTTCTTGAGTGAACAAGCGTCACAATTTTCCGATCGCGAACTTTCCCTTTCTTGATAGTATCGTTTTTTTCCCAACGTACTGTGTTGCATGTTGACTTCCGTGAAAGATGTCGATTGGAGGCATACAAAGTAACAATACAGGAGTTTCAAAGACGCAGTTTAATGAAAACTATGGACAAGTTTTATTGTCGACATTGTGATATCATTGGGGAATATGTTATTTTGTTTGTTTGATATGAAAGGGAACGTTTTTATGATACTCATAAGTGTGACTTGTTGCACCCCTGTTGTAGGAACAAGGACGTGACAATTCTTTGATTTATCCTAGATTTTGTCGATGAAGCAGACGACGCTTACTTTTCTGGAAAACATGATCTTTTTCTCCGTCTGCCTTTCTCTGTAAATCTTTCCTTTTTTTCATATTTTTGCCATAGCTGTATCGATGTTGAGTTCTAGTTCAAGTTTTGCTGACACAGGTTTGTTTTCCTGACTATTACTTTGCGTCTGGGCTGATAATTTATTTTAACTGATGATTGTTTGATAACGTGTATTGCCAGGTAATATATTTTGACTGTTAATACTCAACTGAACTAGGCGTGTAATAAGGTACCCTGAATGTATCACGATATATTGCAATACAGAAGGATTTTATCATGATATATTGTTACAGGTTTTTCTTTTAATTTCCCAGAACAATATCAATATGAATCCTATCTTATATTATCACACGTAAAACAAAAAAATCTACTTGATGAAAAAGTATATTCATTTTTTTTTTACCGAAAAGATAAACGAACTTTTTATTTTCCATCATGTGAAGATATACTTTTTATAGTATTATCCAGTAAAAATGGTACTTTCTATGCAGCGCGTAGATTTCAGTTTTAGGTGCAATTAAAGCGACGGCAAAATAAGTGTTTTTTATACTCCTAAACTATGTTTTTAAATAACTATACAATCGATTTAATTTGTGGGTGACCATGTAATAACAGCAAATATTACGTTACTGATTGGCGTACTATTTTGTTGCAGCAATATTTGTGTCGTGTTAAATTAAAAAAAAATGTAAAACATAGACAATTTTAATGGGTTTTCCGTAGTTATACAATGAAAAACATAGACAATTTTTATTGGTTTTCCGTAGTCATACACTGTATGTATGTCTCGAGTCTCGCAGAATGTCGATATTTTTAAGGAGTGCATGCGAACCATTTAATTTATCCTCTATGTATCATATAGATTACACAGAATTAGGAGTTTCGGTAAGCCAATCATCGATATTGAAATTGCAACTGATTCACACCACTGGCAATAACCTGCTTATAGTCATTGACATTGCTGCAACAAACACCGATAGGTTTTCGCATTTCCGACTCATTGGATACACCTGCTAGTAGTTGGTAAACAATTTTGGTTACCAACTAGTGGATAACACCATGGACGTTATTTCATTAGTCAACCTTCTAATGAAGACGTCAACTAACAATGCGTTGCGACGTCATCTTCCATTTTGATGTAAAAGTAACTTGTAATGGCAAGTGTTTCTCTGATCGGAAATATAAATAATGTATTCCCAAGAGACAAATGGGGTCTTACAGATACACTTTCTGAACGTGGTGGGAGGAAAAGGTCCCCAAACTCGTGATGGTTGGTAATCACGTTTATCTAACTCGAGTAAGTTAATTTTCAAACTCCCTAAAGAGTCGGTGGACCTCGAGTTTTTATGCAATTCGAATATTAACAAACTCGATCTAGATACATATGATTATTAACCATCAACTGTTGGGCTAGCAGTGTACAGTAGCGGACGGTGGCCATGGGTGATATATTTGTACAATGAATAACCTATGTAATATTACATGTATCAAAAGTAAAAAATATAATCAGCACTAAAATAGGCATATACATGATGAAGTGGACCATATTGGCTTCACATTTTTAAAAAAAATCGAATTTGGTTTGAGACTACATTTTTGGCCATTTGCAAATCTGTGTCTACACAATAAAAGCACAGCACATGTGGAAATATTGTGAAAAATCCAGTTGAACGACCTATGCTAAAACGTGAGTATTTCTGTTGCCGAATAGGTGATATTCAATTTAAGACAGGTTTTAAGAAAAAACACTACTTGCGTGGGTCAAATTTTGGGTTAAAAATCATGTTTTTTGGCATAATTTGGCGTTTTTTGATGTGGTAACCATGGTTTTCACAAGTTCCAAATCAGGTGAAATCACATTTTGAAAAAACAAATTGTTCTAAAAATAAAGTATTTAAAATGTAGTTTATAGATATATATATATATTACCGTACAACCGTCGTTAGGAGGACCCCTAATAAGTACATCACTTAGGTAGACTTTGATAATTTAAATAACTATTGTTTTCTATACCAAATCAATCTTAATCGAAGCAGAATAGAATAATTAACATAACCAATAATAAATATTTTGTTCAATATTTGATCTGTTTTAGTACTTGTATAACCAAAACACACTTAGGCGACACTTTGAGGTCGCCCTAAGTTTCAAAGCGTTTGATAATCACGAAACGACAGATAAGGCGACTACTTTCGAGGGGCCCTGATCTTTCATGTTTTACCTAAATGTCATGGTGTTATATACGAAATGAACTGCTGATAAGAAATGGTTTGTCATCAAATAATTATGTAATGTCACAATAATAATGTATGTTGAGCGAATTTTGCTGATAGGTTGATTGGTTGTAGTGAGTTTAACGTCCCATCAACAGCTTAAGTCACTAACGGACGTGAGTTCATGGGTGTAATGTATGAGTGTATGCATACTGTAACAGGTCTCATAGCCTTTCTCATCTTGACAAAAACAATTAGCCTTATAAAGGTGACGTCATTACTCATTAATATTGATCGGAATTATAAAATTCACTTCATCACGAGCATTTTAATTCAAACAGAGCAATATATGGGGCCTCAGAGAGACACAGAGTGGCTGACGTTTTTCGATTTTTACAACGATTTCGAGATTAGGATTATTGTGATACTACACCAATACAGATCTGCTTCATTTTGACCAATGGAAGTTGGAAATATAGGATTTGAATTTGGATATATCCGAATTCATGCAGTAAGTACGGATAATGTTTACTGACTCTACTGACCACAGCGGCTCGAAAATCCTGAAGGTGTTTATTGTTTATAACAGTACAATTAGAATGTTCCAGATACATTGATAAAAATTGTATTTAAATGCATTATATTTGATGAACAATCACGTTAGAATTGAGGTCAAACCGGACGAGTTAGTTTTTAAATAAAAAAAACCCTTTTTTTTCGGAATTAGACCTATGATCATTTATATAAGTACAGATAAAATACTTACATAGTGTATTTAAATCGGTTCAGTAAATTTTCAATTCTAACATGACATGAATAGTAACAAACGAAACTTGTTTCATAATTGTTTAAAATAAAAAATAAACATCTATTAGAGCCATCTATCACGGTTTGAGAAGACATCCGTGTACCTTTCAGGTACGTTAAAACTGTATCAGGGGTGTGAACACGCTTAGGGTATTTACCGATACGGGAAGAAATTGCCTTCATAGGGATATAAAGGGATTGATCAGCGTTATTTTGAAGATTCTCCTCTTGCTTCCAATAACGCATGACAACTGTCGGAAGCAAATATGTTGGTGATGTTAGGCTGTTCTNTTATAAGGATTGAACGATATCTTTTTATGTTCATGCCAGTATGGACACAAATCGGTAACATACATAGTAACCATGGAGCACGGAAAATGCCGTTAAATCCTTATGTGAAAGCTGTCATCACAGCGCCAGTTATATTTTATATGAATATCAGAACGTGTCTAATACGTTTGTTAAAATAAGCCAAACATGTTAGAGCAATTATAATATTGTAAAACACCTAAATTAACTTAATTCCAAAACAAGAGGATTACTGGTTAATTTCAAATTAATGGTACAGTGAATATATTGCGAACCGTGCCACTACCCAAAATAATTACTATTCAGGTTCGGCAATCCTCGGGAACCAAGAACGCAACTAGCAGAATTCATCAATTTGTATCTTTAAAGGTGAAAGTATGACACACACAGAATTATGATTGCACCAATAACATTTAGTAAGAGATAAAATATGCTAACAAATAATTACACTACACCATACAGCTCTTACATCATTCTTTATTGAACTTTTTTTTTTTACTAAGCACCGTTTATTACACGTTGTAAATATCAATAATTATTTATATTAATAACCGTTGATATTAATAAACAATATTAGTAAAGTTTATATCCACCATGATGTAAAGGCAGAAAATTGAGCTGACTCATATTTCCCTGATCAGAAATATGATATTGTTGACTGCCATCACAAAACAACTGTTTCTGACATACGAGTTTACCCAATTATTTCCCCGCTCTCAAGTGCCCTGTAAAATAAGAGATATTGAATTATCATTGCTCTCATATCTGCATCGTCGTATTCCAGCGGCTTCCCCTGGATACAGATTTCTTCTCTGCAGCCTTGGACAAAATTTACGGCTCGTAATTCCGTCTTTGCGTATTGCAGAGTTATCTTCTCTTGTGAGCAGGTATTGATTGTTACGTCATTGGTTTGTGTGAGAAAATTACGTCGTTTTCTCAAAAATTGATGACGTTACTCTCACAAACAAATGACGTAACAATCAATACCTGCTCACAAGGCAGATAACTTTGCAATACGTAAAGTCGGAATAAA